AAATATAATAATCTCAGTTAAATAGTAAAGTTGTAGTTTGATATATAAAGATGGAGGATGGTTCATATTTATAGTTTGATATATATATAGATGGAGGATGGTTCATATTTATAGTTTGATATATATAGATGGAGGATGGTTCATATTAGAGTTTGATATATATAGATGGAGGAAGGTTCATATTTATAGTTACTTTAACTTTCAAGAAAGAACAATAATAGGAATGCAAAGTCAGCAGTTTCTAAACCTGGTATAGATATATAAACCGAAATCCTGCACCACTCTTACAAATTATCAAGAAAAATATTTTTTTCTTTAAATTTTTTTGAAAAAAATATGATTAGTTAGATTCACATTAAAGCTTGCAGAGAATTTTATGACAGACAAAAGAAGGAAAGGACAAACAAAGGACAGGACAAACGGAGGACAGGAGGACAAACGAGGACAGGACAAATGAAGGACAGGACAAACGTAGGAAAAGCGAAGGACAGGACAAACGAAGGACATAACAACGAAAGACAGGACAAACGAAGGACAGGACAAACAAAAGACAGGACAAACGAAAGATAGGAAAAACGAAATACAGGACAAACGAAGGACTGGACAAACAAAAGATAGGACAACTAAAATGATGGACAAACGAATGACAGGATAAACTAAGGATAGGACAAACAAAAGAAAGGACAAACAAAAGAAAGGACAAACGAAGAACAGAACAAGCATAGGACAGAACAAACTAAGGATAGGACCATCGAAGGACTGGACAAAAAGAAAGAAGGACAAACAAAGTGAAGGACAAATGAATGACAGGACAAATGAAGGAAAAGCCAAACCAAAAGAAAAGAACAAACGAAGGATAGGACTAAACCTAGGACAGGACAAACAAATGACAGGACAAACGAATGACAAGACCAATGAAGGAAAGGACCATCGAGGAAAAGGACAAACAAAGGACAGTAAAAACGAAATACAGGATAAAAAAGTGCAGGCCAATGGAAGGAAAGGACAAACAATAGACAGGACAAACGAAGGACAGGACAAAAGTAAGGCAGGACAACTGCAGGGTAGAACAAAACGTAGGGCAAGAAAAACAAAAGACGGTACAAGTGCAGGACACGAGAAACCATCAGGTTGCACAGATAAAGGTATTACAAATTCCTATTTTCAATTGAATTAAACCCCATCGTGGAGATTTTTTTTCTTTGAATTCCCTTTCAATTATTTTAACACGAATTAATAACACTGTATCAATGTTTTTTATTTTAGATTTAGGTTTGGTGACGACAATTTCTCGACCAATCATTGCAACGTATCATTTGAGGAGTGTGAGAAAACATTTTAATAAAACATTTTCCTGGTACTGTTTCCTGGTACTATTTCCTGGTATTGTTTCCTGGTCCTGTTTCCTGGTATTGTTTCCTGGTACTGTTTCCTGGTACTGTTTCCTGGTACTGTTTCCTGGTACTGTTTCCTGGTACTGTTTCCTGGTACTGTTTCATCCACGACGGACATAGATTACGCACTTCGATTTATTCAGCAAAGATTATTCTGTGAACTAACTTTATGTTTCAGGTACTTGGTTCTTACAACAAGTTTCTTTAGATTAAAAGAAAAAGTGTATCATTGTGAATTGGAGATGCCCTTTTTTAAATGGAACTTAGAAACTAGAAGTGCTAGAGCAGACAGACTTTATTCGGCAAAACAGTACATGCAGTAATTGCAGTACATACAGTAGATGCAGTACATGCAAAATATGAATCATCCCTTTTCTAAGAAGATTAATGAACTATGGAGATACTTAACCGCAAATCTTTTCAAAAGTTAAATTTAATCTAATTTGACTATTCTCATAAATCCATATTTCAAGTTCTTTGTCTAACTCTGGTTTCATTGTCTTCCCTTCTCTCTCTCTCTCATTTCTCATTTCTCATTAGGGTTAAACCATTCTATCTTCTTTTATAATTCTTTCTCGAATTGTTCTAAATGTTGGAGCTGTCTCCGACAATAAATATCAGGATTCTTTTGTTTTAAACTTTTCATCATGTCAACACATTTCTCAGTTTAATACAACTTCTCCACAGAATATAATGATAATTAGACTTTATACATAAATAGATAGATAGATAAATTAATACAAGGATAGACAGTTTCATAAATATACTAGGCTTTCAGGGCGCTTTACGCCCTTCTTCTATTTTAATTGTAAAACAATAACATATGAAAGTTTGCGGATTTTATGAAATTAATTTTGTGGATTTTCAAGATTTAATTAAAATCGAATTTTGTTGGAGGCTAATTTTTGAAATTTTGATCATCCATAAACCTCTCTGGGGTCATTTGAGGACCTACACAAAACTTTGGCCCGATCGGTTCAGCCGTTTTGACGTTTATTGGATACAAACAGACAAACAAACACCAAGATTGACAAGCAAAGTATATTTGTATTGATAGTTAGATGTCTTGATAAAGGAATTAAGTCTTTGCCACAAACTCCAATTTTCTAATCTATATATCTTAACAACCTGATGGTGAAAACCTTTGATATTTCAAATTTAAATTGTTTGATCTAACAGAATTCATTATTTGAAATATCTAAGGTCTAGACATTGGTTTGCAAAGATTAGCAATTAGATAATTAGAGTTTGTGCTAAAGACCATGAATAGACGGATAGCTGGATAATTACTGATACGGACAATTAGTAAGATAAATAGATAGGATAAATGGATACATTTTAAAATAGATAAATACAGTGATGGATAGATTGGTAGATAAATAATTACATTTAAAGATGGATAGATGAATTGAAAAATTATTAAATACATAGATGAGTTGGAGTACAGCTAAATGAATAAATATAGATATTGAGAAATGGGAACCCAGCGCTGCCCAGGTTACTCATAGTTATTCCCGTCGTTTACTCGCACTTGAACAATTTTACCGGGAAACTAAATTTTCGCTATTAAAGTCGACACACTCAACTTACAATCTCATAACCAAGCTAAGAACATTCCCGTGGGTCTCCCGAGATCCCCAATCAAAATTTGAGGCAAAACAGATACAAAGATGGATGGATGGGTAGATATTGATAAATACATAGATAGATAAATAAATGAAGAAATTAATGGACGTTTCGATAAATAAATGAATAAATTAATTAGTAGATAGTTAGATAAATAAATAAATTAATTAATTAGTAGATAGTTAGATAAATAAATGAATAGATTAATAGATAGTTAGATAAATAAATGAATAAATTAGTAGATAGTTAGATAAATAAATGAATAATTTAATATTTAGCTACGTAAATAAATGAATAGATTAATAGATAGTTAGATAAATAAATGAATAGATTAATAGATAGCTAGATAAATAAATGAATAAATTAATAGATAGTTAGATAAATAAATTAATAGATTAATAGATAGTTAGATAAATAAATGAATAAATTAATAGATAGCTAGATAAATAAATGAATAAATTAATAGATAGTTGGATAAATAAATGAATAAATTAATAGATAGTTAGAAATAGATTAATAGATAGTTAGATAAATAAATGAATAAATTAATAGATAGTTAGATAAATAAATGAATAAATTAATAGATGGTTAGATAAATAATTAAATAAATTAATAGATAGCTAGATAAATAAATAAATAAATGAATAGATAGTTAGATAAATAAATGAATAGATTAATAGATAGCTAGATAAATAAATGAATAAACTAATAGATAGCTAGATAAATAAATAAAAAAATTAATAGATAGTTAGATAAATAAATGAATAAATTAGTAGATAGTTAGATAAATAAATAAATAAATTAATAGATAGCTAGATAAATAAATGAATAAATTAATAAATAGTTAGATAAATAAATGAATAAATTTTAATTGATAGTTAGATAAATAAATGAATAAATTAATAAATGAAATTTAAGACTTTTTTGGTGCCAGATCTTTACTGTTTAAAGGATGTTTGATTAGAACCAATGTATAGTGAACACACCAAATCACCTTTCGATCAGCTATGAATGTTTTTTAACTAAAAAATACTGAATAGATTTCTTTTATTCTTTGAATTTTTAACAAATATTTAACAAAGAAACAATGCCATAAATTTTGTAAGAAGAAATTGTTGAAATATTGGAAACATTATAATTTATAAATCAAAGCATGCCGTCAGCAAGGATATAATGCAAGGAAAGTTATTTTAGAGGTGTACGCATCTTTTGTACTGATGTGTACTGTCACTGGGTGGTAATGTAAACACAAGACGGATGTCGAAGCCCGACATGGGATCCATCTTTCACATGAAAAATCAATAAAATATTCTGGTCATAGGAAACTATTACGTGAATTATCAAAATTATCAACATTTAATGTTTTTATCCTCCTCGGAAACTAAACGAACCCTGATGCATCTTTTCTTGTTTACAAATTAAACTTTCTTGTTTACAAAATAAACATTTTTTAAAGGGATTGTAGGCGTAAGAAATGAGCTCCCAATTACACAGTGTTGTGTTCGATCCAGAAAAATACTCTTTATATCTCAATTTGACCAAACAAATTTCTAGTAGATTATCTAGAAAATCTTGGAACTCTGACATTTTCCTTTCATTTTCTCTGCAGCTTAAATCCGCAAGTTAGGTTTACAAAAACCCACAACTGAAAAAGAATTAATTCTAATTTAGAAAAGTAGGGATATTTCATTAATCCTTGATCAGACAAAGGTTTAGATGGAACCGATGAAAATTTAAGGAAACTCGCTGAAACGTTAAACTTCAAGGTAAAATATATATTTTGATAAATCATTAAAGAAAGTAAGGGGGGTTCGCCAATGGGGGGGGGTATTGAATTCAATATCCCCGGTGAGGTTCATATTTATAGTTTGATATATATAGATGGAGGATGGTTCATATTAGAGTTTGATATATATAGATGGAGGAAGGTTCATATTTATAGTTACTATCTTTTTTTAATTAATTGTTTAGTTTTGAAAATATTGTATAAACTTTATTTTTTAGCTTGTTATTTCTTACAATTGTTTACAAACAAAAATTTTGAATTTTTTTCTCCGAACAATTAAACTTCTTCTCATTAGAAAACATAAATAAAAAGTTGTTAATTTTACAGAGCACAAGACAATCTGGATGCTAGAGTAGAAAGGGGTAGTGCACGGAATCTTTATAGGTGTAATTTTAAGGGACCCTCCATTTGTAAAGTGATGTTTCCGATTCACAATAGTTCACAATTTGAGTTCAACGTTTTGTTCCCAACGTACGCTAGTCTACACTCTAGGTTTACTGCAATTTGAACACCATGCACACACGGATGCGATGATCAGTCCAAGGTTTAAAGGGTATCGATGTAATTTGGGCATTCCCCTCTTTAACTGGAGGATGCCTTAAAATCACGCATACAGTCCCTTTAACTAGAGGATGCCTTAAAATCACGCATACAGTCCCTTTAAGAAAAGCACGATACAATCACTAGAAAGGGACAGTTCCTGGAATCTTAAAATTGTATTTTATTCTATGACACATGATCTCCCCGAAGAAAAGAAAACAAAATATCATGAAAAGATAAATAGTAATGAAAAAACAACTTTTTTGGGGATTCTCCATAGAAAGTAAATTGGAATTTGGAAAGAGCTGATTTAGGAGCTTGTTTAGGACGGGTATGAAAAAATAAATTGAGTATTTAGATTGTTTTTAAGAAAAGAAAGAAAAACAATTTTAGAATGGGTTAGGAAGGGTTAAAGAAGATTGAATGGGTTAGGAAGGGTTAAAGAAGATGGAATGGGTTAGGAAGGATTGAAGAAGATGGAATGGGTTAGGAAGGATTGAAGAATATGGTATGGGTTAGGAAGAATTGAAAAAGATGGAATGGGTTAGGAAGTATTGGAGAAGATGGAATGGGTTAGGAAGGATTTAAAAAGATTGAATGGGTTGGGAAGGATTAAAAAGATTGAGTGAGTTAGAAAAGATTGAAGAAGATTAAGTGGGTAGGAAAGACTGAAGAAGATGGAATGGGTTAGAAGGAAGGTTTAGAAAAGATTAAATGGGTTAGGAAGGATTCAAGAATATGGTATTAGTTAGGAAGGATTGAAAAAGATGGAATGGGTTAGGAAGGATTGAAGAAGATTGAGTGGGATAGGAAGGTTCTCTCTCCTGGATGTGCGAGAGCTCTTCTCCAATGTAACCTGCCTGTTCCTAAAACATTTAAAGTTAAAAAATGAAGAAACCCCTTTAAATATAAATTGATTAAAGTGATTTTATATATTTATCAACCTTCCACCTCTCCACCAAACTTCAGATCTCCCAATAGCAAATCTGGAATATATTCAAAGATTAATAAGAAATATTAATCAATTTAAAAATTAATCAGAAGATTAATACAAAATTTTCCTCTTTAAAATAAATGTAATACAGAAAATAAGATTATTTTATGAAAAGGAATTGATCATAATTTTCCTCTAAGAAAAATATCCTTAAATACTGTTTAAAAATACATTAACATTTTATTCGAAATATCGGACAGAAATTTAGGGCTATAGAAATTTGCGCGTTATTCTTACAGATTGTTCAGAATTTCGAGATTATTTCGGTAGTTTGATATTCCGAACCAAAATGTTTGAACAGTGTAAAAAAGGATTTTTTCGGGACAATCATTCTCAGATGATTTGTTGTACAAGGAGCTAGGAAGAGGTTGGTTAATTAAGAAAATGAGACCTAGCTCTAGAATAATAAAAAACAGGCTGTTCTGACGAACTTGGGCTCGATAAAACATGTAAAATTCTAAGGGAATTATGTCTTTGCCACAAACTCTGATTTTCTAATCACTATATCTTTGAAAACCAGAAATATAGAGATTAGAAAATTGAGTTCGTTGCAAAGCCTCAGTTCCTTTATATTTTAGAATAGTTTAAAAAAAATACTTTTCTGTCTGAAGCCCATGGACTTCTTGAACTCTAGAACAAGGTTTGTGGTGTCCATGCTCTGTTTATCCATCTTGAAGAGGAACTCCTGCAAAACCAAACAAATGTTTTCATAGGAATCCAAACCATAGTTTTAATAGGAATTCAGCCTAAACATGTTTCAATAGAAATCCAAACCAAACCTGCTCCAGGGAAACCAAACCAAAGTTGTTTTAGGGAAACCAAACCAAACCTGCTTTAATAGGAATCCGAACCAAATCTGTTTAAATGGGAATCTAAACCAAACCTGTTCTAATTGGAATCCAAATCAAAACTGCTCAGGGGAAACCAAACCAAAGTTGTTTTAGGGAAACCAAACCACAACTGCTTTAATAGGAATCCGAACCAAATCTGTTTTAATATAATATTAATGATAATGAAAATAGGGATAAAAAAAGTAACAATAATAATAATAATGATAATGATAATAGGGATAATAAGAATAACAATAATAATAATAATAATGATAAACATGATAATAAAATCTATATATATATATATAGTAGTAATCTCTGTTTGTTTTTGCCTCAAATTTTGATTTGGGAACTCAGTAGAACTATGGAAATGTTCTTACAGTGATAACCAGAAAACTATGGAATAGAAAAACGACATTAAAGCTTGACTAAAGTGTATTTGACGTTGTTTAAAAGCAAATACTATAAAGTTATTAAATCTCATTACACTGCACAATTGCTGTGCCCTATGCTCATTGCATTATTTAAAGTCATAACTTGAGTTTAAAAGTCGACTTCATATTCCAGAGTTTTCTGGTTATCACTGTAGCTTGATGATTTTTTTAATTAAGAAGTTTGACTTTTATTGATAAAGTTTGATTTTCCAGAGAAAGCTGGGTTCCCAAGCTAGTAATAATAAATTTTTTAAATAATGATAATAATAACCTTTTTTACCCTGGAAAGGGAAAGAGGAGAAGGGGGGGGGGAAGGGGGAGGGAATGGTTTTATTCCATTATGAATGAATATAAAAAGCACGTGATAAAAATTACCTTGATGTACAAACTTTGACTGATTTCTATCAGAGAATTCTAAAATTAATTATAATCATGAATATCACTGAATGGTATTTTTCGATACATGTTAATAACTCTAAAAAACATAATTTATGACGACTTTGATGAGCTATTAAAACTTATTTATATCTAAAATGTTGGAAAAATAAGATAAATATAGATCGTGTGGAGAACTTGTAATGACGAATGTTTGATAACGTTTAATGTCTAAATTATTAGAACTCATGATACGATGAATCAGTTTTGCGTCATGTCACTATTTTGAAACTTGTTGACGCTTTTAGAAGATTTTTTACTTTTAAAATCTCTAAAAATCAACTAATTTATCGTTATTTTTAAAGCGTAAGTTTATTTTTTAAATTTTCCGTTATCTTTTTGTTCGGTTCATTTCGTCGATTTTAAAATTTCTAGTATTATTATTAAAATATTCCGTTCGTTGCTCAGCCTGGTCCTTTTGTGAACCTACTTTTTCTGTTATGTTTTAGCTGTTTCGTCTACCATATTCAAATATTTATCTGCTGTCCTGTCTATTATACACAATTATCTATCTGTTGTCCCGTCTACTGTATTCAAATGTCTATCTGCTGTTCCGTCTAATGTATTCTGACATCTATCTGCTGTCCTATCTATTGTATGCAAACATCTATTTACTGTCCTGTCTATTGTATTCAAACATATAGCTGCTGTCCCGTCTATTGCATTCAATTATATAGCTGCTGTTCCGTCTATTGCATTCAAATATCTGTCTACTGTCTCGTCTATTGTATTCAAATATATATATCTGCTGTCCCGTCTATTGTATTTAAATTTATATATGCTGTTCAGTCTATTGTAGTCAACTATCTATCTGCTGTCCCGTCTATTGTCTTCAAAAATCTATCTGCTGTCCCGTCTATTGTATTTACATATCTATCTGCTGTCCCGTCTATTGTATTTACATATCTATCTGCTATCCCGTCATTGTATTCAAATATCAATCTCTGTCCCGTTTACTGAGTTCCAATATCCATCTGCGGTTCCGTCTATTGCATTCAAATATATGTCTACTGTCCCGTCTATTATATTAAAATATATATATCAGCTGTCCCGTCTATTGTATTTAAATATTCATCTGCTGTCACGTCATTGTATTCAAATATATATCTGCTGTCCCGTCTATTGTGTTCAAATATTTATATACTGTCCCGTCTATTGTGTTTAAATATAAATCTGCTGTCCTGTCTATTGTCTTTAAACATCTAGTTGCTGTCCCAACTACTTTTTTTCAAATATCTTTGACGCTTATAAAGAAACTCACCGGTAGTTTACATTTGTGTACGATTATTGACATTTTTCCTTCCGAATCTATATATTTCAGCGCTATCTGTAGTTCTATCCTAAATAAAAAAAGAAAATTGAAGATTTTGTTTTCAATTTTATTCTCAGCTAGCTCTTAGCATTCTTGTTTTGTAAATTTACACTTTTCTTCAGGGACTTAACATACTTTTAACTTCCATAAAGAACGATAAAGGGTGTCTCAATCAAAATGATTAAAAAATATCCTTTAAAATCTTGATTTATTATGAATTCAGAAATGGATCTTATATATCAAGGAGGCTTCGAAATTACCACAAACCTGCCGGAACAAATAAAAAATAGATTTAAAGATGGTCGTAATCCCAAAAAATTGAGTTTTTTCAGCAAAATTTTCTGATCCCAATGTCTTAAACCTTTGATATTTCAAACTATGAATTCTGTTAGATCAAATAATGATCAAAGGTTGTTTACACCATCAGGTGGCAAATAGATAGGAATTAAAAAATTTGAGTGTGTGGCAAGCGTTATCTAAGTTTTGAATATACCTTTTTATGTCATCCTCTATAAAGGTCTCACTGGTATCATGTCTTAGAGCACACCGTATTATCTGAATTTAAACGTTATTTCAAGCGGTCTTTGAGTTTAGATTGGCATGTCTGATTCACTAGCTTACCATTTAAACCTTTATTTCTGCTAAATGAATGAATCATTTTTATTTTAAAACCACAGTGTAAAATATTCAATTTTTAGAAGAAAAAAATAACAATATCTTCATCATCTTTGAAAAGGTAATGATTCATCTCGTTGTGAATTGTTGGCCCAGCCACCATAGAAATTTTGCTCATTGAAAATTTCATCAACAGTGTCCGAATTTAATTAATTTAAGCCACGTCTTAAATCCCTGAAAACCGGTTTTAATAGACCGCCGGCTTAAATCTTGAAAAATTTAATACAAATTTAAGTGGAACCAACCATATTTGAGCGGCGGCTTAAATTTAAACCGCGGCTTAAATTCTTTAAATTCGGCCTATAGTAAAGATAATATTATTCTTTAAAAAAAACTTGAACAATTTCAGGATATTCTAAAGATTAAAACAAAAATTGACGATCATGTTCTTATTAAGCTCACAATCTACATACTTTACTTGTCTGTTTGTTTGTTTGTTCTTAACCGATAAATTTCAAAACGGGTAAACCGATCGGGACCTAACATGACCCCAGGGAAGGATGCTCAGAATTACAAAAAATGTCTCCCAAAATTTTTGATTCTCGTAAAATTATAAAAATCCACGAATAAGATTGTAAATCCACAAAATTGTTTATCATTTTTATTTCGAAAAGAGAGATTGAGCAGCAATTAAAAGTTGAAATAAAATAAATGTACTGGATAATTGTCGAAGGAGAATCTGAGCCGACCAGGAAAAGATGAAAATTTCATCAATTTAACATTTTAATGCGATATTCTAAAATAAAATATTTGGGATTTTAATCAAAAACTTAAATTAAAACCATCGTTATCCTTTTGTAGATAACAAATTACTTAATATTAAGTAATCAAATCTCACTTGAAACTTATTTTTTACAAATCATAGAAAATTTACACGGAAAGAAATTTGTAAAGTTTGTAAATAAAATAATAAATATTACCAGATTTTCCCCATACGCTCGAATAGTTCTGAAATAAAATAAAATGATAAAACTAAATCAAATCTTCTTCGTAAGAGGAATACCTGTAGAAATTTGTTAGAACTCTTGGTTTGATATCAGATTCATAAACAACCCCCCACAGGGAAACTGTTCTGCTTTCTTTTATCTAAAAAAAGAGAAAGAGATTGAAGTTTTGCCACAAACTCCCAATTTCTAATCATTACATCTTTGCAACATAATGACGCATACCTTATGCCTTTTATTTTTAAAACTATGAATTCTGTTAGATCAACTTATCTAACTTTGAAATATTAAAGGTTTAGAGCATCAGGTTGCAAAGGTATATGGATCAGAAAAATTGGGTTTGCGGAAAAAACTCAGCTCCTTTATCTCAATACAAAAATTGGGATGTGCGTAAAAGGTAATTTTGCAACAGAAACTATTGATTAATGCTGCAAATTATTAACATGGACAATGTTTATAGGATTTACAAAACACCGTTGTTTAATTTGATAAATATAAAAAAAAAATTATTGATAAAATTGAGAAAAATAAAAATTATGAAAATTACATTGAAGAAGAAATCTTCATTAAAGTTTCTTTTCTCCTCCCCGAACTGTGTACTGGACTGAAAATTCTCTCCAGAACCAGGCAACAGTTGAAGCCTAGATCAACAAAACAAACCACTGTAAATCAATCAATGCAGTCTAATCAATTATAAAACAATCAACAACTTATGTATTTATAAAAAATCGGTGATGATGATGGACCAAACCTCCTAGAGTAAATAAAGTAGTTTCACATTTTATTGAAAATATATTTGAGTCAGTTCTTGAGATTGTTTCTGTCATGAAGATTCAAAGTACAGGGTAACCCACAAAGTACAGGGTAACCCACAAAGTACAGGGTAACCCACAAAGGATGAGACTATTTGCGCTTTATAACGACATTAAATTTACTTCAGTATTACTGTAAAGTTGTATTCCCATTTAAGAGTTTTCTGGTTATCACTGTATCTTGTACCTGACATATATCCCGATATTATTGTAGTCTCCTGAATTAAGTTTAAGTTTCTTTAAGCGTATCTTGAGAACTCCTTCAGAAAAGTTGGCAATAAGGTAAACTTTGCCAAACAGCTCGTCCCCTGTATTCTCCTGGTTTATCTCCTGAAAAATAACAACGTTTTTAAGATCTTAGAATTTTATCTATTGCTTAGAAAATCATGTAAGTATCGCCATTTATCCCTGTTCTTACACTATACATGTCTGTTTTCCCATTTTCTATAAGGGGGATGTGCCACCCCCCCCCCCCCTCTTGAATATTAAGAAGACCACTTGGACCAACTTTAAAAAGAAAATTATTTTTTGAAATATTTACCCCGCTGCTGCTGCTCAAGTAAAGGCTTGGATTAAGTTTACCAGATTCTGAAATAAAATAAAAAAAGTTTTTTTTAGAAAAATCTTTGGATAATAATTTTAAAATTTGAAGAAGCTGGATAAGTTAGTTTAAATCTTCTTTAAAGGATTCCCCGCTAGTTAAATTCTAGATTTAGATTTTTTTATTCCTTTTCTCAACAAAAATAACGCAGTTAGAAAATGTATAAAAATCCTAAAAATATTTTGTCTCCCAAATTTGTGAGCATGAATTTAATTCAAAATTAAAACAGAAATACTTTTTTAATATTTTGTATCAATGCAGAGTTACCCAAAAAGGATGAGACTTCACACGGAGTTTGAACAATACATTTTTCTAATTCCTTTATCTTTGTACGCCAATGTCGTAGACCTTAGATACAGGGTGTCCCAATAAACATGGGAATTCAGTGACGAATTCGATATCGTCTTTTTAAATAATTCTTGGATTTAGTATAGTGATACCTACTGAGAAAGCTGTAATCTGTAAGAGTTTCGTCTGCTATGTTCACATTTTGTTTGTTTATGTTTTGACTTAGTAATACAAGAAAATAGCAGTATACAAATAGAGTAAACTTGTCCGTCTTCACTGTTCATCTTCCGGAGACATTATAGACACATCTTTGCAGTCTTTTACCCTTTTCATAAAGTAAACTCTAGCAGACATAATAATATTATGGCTTTTGAAATTAGGTATTAAATTGCTAATTCATAACAAAGACGATATCGAATTCGTCAGAGAATTCCCATGTTTTTGGGACACCCTGTAATTCAACCTGTGAATTCTATATTTAGATTTAAAATATTAAAGGTTTACGAACCATCAGGCTGCAAAGATAAAGGAAGTAGAAAGTTTGAGTTTGTGCAAAGCATCAATTCCTTTGTTACTTTATTTGCCATTAAAAAAGACTTTAACAGAAGGAACACTTCAAACATCATATATCGTTATATTTAAATAGTTTTCGGCGAACCCTGCACATAAAATTTCGAATTTTGATATAATCTAAGTTAGAAAACCTGATGTTGAGAGTCGTCTCCCTCTGCTGTATCGAGTGCTGTTCATATTCTGAAACAATTTTAGAACTTGGGTTCAAATCGTTTTTCCAGAAATGGAGAAAATGCTAATTTTTTGTCAACAATGTCTGTCAGTACTCAGTATCATTGAGAAACAAAAATGTAATCGAATGATTGAGAATAAATTGGCTTTAAAGAAAATTATTTTCAATTTAATATTCGAGAAAGCAAATGCATCCCCATCTTTTTGAGGGATCCTTCTATTTGAGGGATTCACAGAAAAATATATTGCGTGAATCCCTCAAATATTACCCCTGAGGTAATAAAAATTTAAAAGTTTTAAAAAAAAGATCCAAAAATCCTCCAAAACTAACAAATATTACCGGGTTTTTAGGCAATTTTAACACTAAACCAGGAAATAAGAATAAAGGGAAGGGAAATGACGCTGGTCTGGCATGAGAAAACCAGTAGAGTAATGGTACAGTTGGTTATCGGGGTTGCCTCCAGTTTTCATTTTAACTGAAGGGTCAATTGAAATTGCACCTACCGTCCCTTCAAGACCGATTTTTACCTTGGTCTCCAATGATTGAGCTCTGCGATGTAATGGAGCAGTGCTGGGTGCAGTGTTCCTAGAAACATAGATTATGGTGCAAGGTGAAGTGTTCCTAGAAACATAGATTATGGTGCAAGGTGAAGTGTTCCTAGAAACTTAGATTATGGTGCTGGGTACATTGTTCCTAAAACACAGACTGTGGTGATTGATGCATTGTTCCTAAAACAAAGATTATGGTGATTCATGCACTGTTCTTTAAAATGAAAATATTAAGAATCCAAAAGATAAAACTTGGCAAATTTAAATATTACTTTCACAGGAATTTAAAGCTTAAATCAGTTGTTTAACCAAGTTCAAATTAAGCCAAATCATTCATAAATTCTTAACTCTGATATGCATGATACAGAACCGGATAAATCTAGTATTTTTTGTCCATCGTTTTCCTTTTAGTCTTATTCATTTATTATTTATTTTTTAAAAGCTTCTAAAGAATCTTGCATTAGAATAAGAATGGAGAAAATAAAGAAGAAAAGGTTTTAGATTTCAAACCTTGAGTCTTACATGAATGTTCATATTCTCTAATTGGAAACCAATTTGATACTAATGATTTATAATTATTCTGAAAATTAGATACTCCATTAAATGCACAAATGGAAGATGAAATTGCTGAATAAACCTGAAAATTGACTGAATGAGAGTTAATTGTTTTATTGTTTTAGTCTGTATAAGATGAAAATTAAACATCTAGGAACGGGAAAATTCCAAACTTGAAAATAAGAATTTCTAAAAATGAACGTAAAACATTTATAGGCTAATTGTAATCTGATAAAGAAAATTATGTTTTTGGTCACTTGCCTCAAACCTAGATTTTGTAATCTTTATAATCTTTCCAACCTGATGGTGTAAACCCCTAGATACATTAGATCAAGAAATATATAGACCAGGAACCGCCGTATCTCATGCGTCAAATCCGTGTACTGCAGTGGGAGGAGATCAAAACAAAGAATTCAGGGGTAGCGCATCATTTCTGAGGGAAAAGGGCCCAAGGGGTGGAATAAGAATTGCTATTGCTATTATTTTCCATAATGACGCATGAGATATGGCGGTTCCGTCTATATATTTCTTGATGAACACTGTAAAACTGAAAATAGTACAACTCCTTGTACATCGTGAACTCGTCATACAAAAAGGTCAAAGAATACGTTACATTTCTCAGGGTCAATATGTAGGAATCATTCTGAATTGTGTTTATAACATTACAAAAAAAACCATACATTTTTACGGACTACGGAATGTGAGTTGTACTTTTTCAATGTTATACTGAATCGAAGACGGACGTAGCTAATACAGAGCTAAATTCAAATGTTCTACTTTTAGCTGAAATATTACGGCATGGCGAAGACGACATGAACTATCTAGTCTAGTTTATCTAGGTGTAAACCTTTGATATTTAAAACTTTAAATATCTGAACTACCAAAATCATATAGTTTGAGATACCTAAGGTCAATGTAAAGATGTAAGGATTTATAGAATATCAGAGTTTGAGGAAATATTTTTTTCTTCATTGGAGCAGCAGCTCATGGAACTAGAGTTTAGCAAAGTTTTTAACCTGCTTTTAAACAAACAGCATTTTAGGCTTTCAGGGGACTGCACAAAATTGTTTTAATACATTTAAAAATATCTCTGAAAATTTGATTTATTTTTACATATTACACTGTGCAAATTCTTGACTATAGCAGTTGACATATCCGGACCTGAACGATTTTTAAATTCTATGTTAACTATGCTTTGTTCAAATTTATATCTTCTGACTTTATATATTTTCATTAAGCTTACTAAAATATAAGATTTTGAATTACGTCAGATTTTTGTCAGTCCTCCTAAAAGCCAAAAAAACTTGAATATCTATTCTCTAGATGAAATGCCTGGCGTTGCCCGGGAATTAAATTCAGTTGTTGTTGTTGCACATGATACACCCATGGTACCTTGCTAGAGCTATCATATATAACATATATAAAGTATTCACAAATGAAATGTTTTGAATTTTTATTTTATCAAGATTATGTTTCTGTAATGGTGATACAATAAAACTTCAAATCATGTTTTGAAACCTTATTTTCTTCTATATATGCAATGTTTATATATATATATATATATATATGAGCCAAGTGCTTGCAACTAGATTATTGCTTTATAACCTGGTGTAGAGAGAGTATGGTTGGTAGGGTAGGTTAGGCTTGATGATTGTTGGAATACTCGAATTCGAACTAGAATATAAATACTCGAATTCGAACTAGAATATTAAAATATATAAATAAAGAAACTGTTTTTCCATAGATTCTTGATATTTAAAACTTCGATATTTTTTTCTGAAGCCATCTTAGCTCTCCTTTTGCAGTTAAGTTCTAAACATTATTATCACTTGATTTGATTTTATTACAATTTTATTAACAACTCCGATTCTTTTTCCTATTCGTNTTGATTTTCTAAGACATTATCTTATTCCTTATTTTTCTTGGACATTATCTTATTCCTCATTTTTCTTAGACATTATCCTATTCCTCAGTTTTTCTTAGACATTATCCTATTCTTCATTTTTTCTTAGACATTATCCTATTCCTCATTTTTTCTTAGACATCCTATTCCTCATTTTTTCTTAGATATAATCCTATTCCTCATTTTTTCTTGAAAGAGACTGAGCCCATGTATTAAATTCTCAGTTTGTAATTCCTATATTTTCGCGACTGAATGGTAAAAATCCTTTAAATATTCGATCCAGCAGGAAATGGTTCGAAACGTTCGAAAAAATTCAAAATTCAGGATGCAAAGACTTAAAGATAGTAAAATGAACGTATGAGAAGAGTAATTACATCCTTTCCATCGGAATTGCATCTCTAATATATAGCTAAAATATATGGAAGCGTTTTAGGTCATAAATCAAAAAGAAAATTATCAAAAAAATGTTTGCGATTTGAGATACTCTTTTTGACAGCCATACCATTATATTTTAAATAATTTTTTTCAGACGCAGACCTTAAGCTAGGTTCCAAACTCGACCCACCCTATTGTTCAAAAATCCAAACTGGTTTGTTTTGTGTGAAACCAGTTTGTTTTGGTGAACAGATTTGTTTGTATATTTAAACCGGTTTGTTTTGTATCTAACCAATTTTTTAAATATTAAATCGGTTAGTTTAGGATTAAACCAGTTAGTTTAATATTAAACCAGTTATAAAGTGATCGTATTTCTAAGGGGGATTTTATGGAATTGACCAATTTTTAGATTTTCTTTCTTTATTTAAATCCATATTAAGTGTCTATTTAATTATCAATACTAATATTCAAAAATCTACATAAAACCACCCCTTAGAAATACGATCACTCTATATACAAGTGTACAGTGTTAGATACGTAAACATATCGTGATGTATACATCCGACCACTCTATTAATTAATTAATATGGAGGTCAGTTGTGTACATCTGAGCTAAGCTTCACCTCTTCGTTTTATTACTCTATGCCAGTAAGTTTAATATTAAACCAGTTAGTTTAGGATAAAACCAGTTAGTTTAGGATAAAACCAGTTGTTCAATATTAAACCAGTAAGTTTAGTAAAAAACAGTTAGTTTAGGATTAAACCCGTTTGTTTAATATTTAACCGGTTAGTTTAGGATTAAACCAGTTAGATTAAGATTTTGATTAAACCAATTTGTTTAATATTAAACCGGTTAGTTTAGGATTAAACTAGTTTATTTAATATTAAGCTAGTTAGTTTAGGATTAATCTAGTTTGTTTAATATTAAACCAGTTAGTTTAGGATTAAACCAGTTAGTTTAGGATTAAACTGTTTATTTTGTTTACCTAAACCAGTTTGATTGTTTACCTAAACCCGTTTGTTTGTTTACATAAACCCGTTTGTTTGTTTACCTAAACCGGTTTGGAGATGCTGCAGGAAAATTAAAGGTCGGTATAGAGAAGAGGGGAGAACTGGAATCTATAAAAATAATTAAAGTAAATATAAGTATAAACACTTATTTCCTATTTAAACTAAAATAATGAAATTCCCTTTCCTTCTTTTTTTTCAATTGATTTTTTAGCAAAACTTTATAAGATTTAAACATTAAGAATTATTATTGTGTTATGTGGTCGTCATACACTGCAGGGATATCTTTAATTAAGGGATCAAACATTTAAAGTCTGCAGTGAATATCGAGATCAAATGTTCAAGATCAATAATACTTAGTGTCCTTTACACTTCGCTACACAAGAATAATCCCATAGTTCATTTCGAGTATATCATTAAATTTTAAACTACCATTCTTTAAAAAGAAAAAAATTTAATGATTATTTTATCCCTTTAATTTATTTTCATCGGACCTGAAGAAGTTTTTACATGTAGATGTGGGGAGGATGTGTTCCAAGAACCCTAAATATGTTTATCTATTTAATCTATTTATTTATATGTGTATCTATTTAATCCACATATCTATTTATAATTTAAACATTGCATTTCAACCAAATACTAGCAAAAACCTACAGGGTAGTAAGAGCCTTAATTTTGGAAAAATGTTGACGATTTTGAACATTTTTGATATTTATTCACAATATCTGACAGAATGGTGTTAACTAGAGCCTTCAATCGTTCTCGTAAAAAATTATATTGAACTGTTTTAAGTTTTGAAATTCCTCTTATTAAAATAAAGGGGAAGGGATTGGTCTGCTAGATCCTTAGATCTCAATCCTTTTTCTATTTATGGGTCTTTCTTGAGTAATTTGAGTTATCTTTCTTGAGTAAATTTGATTTTCTACAGACATTCATAATATAGAGATATAACATATTGTTAATACTGTTAGAATTAATATTTGGATTAAAAAAATTAATGTTAAATTTTTGTATCAAAGGAATTCTTAAACTTTAAACTTTATTTTGCTATGAAGGCTTTAGTTTACACCATTTGATCATAAATTTCAAGTAGATATAAAAATATGTCCAACATATTCAATATCTGTCAAAATTGAGGCCATAGCTATAGTTTTTTTGGACACCCTACTTCACAGTTTAAGTCAATTACCCTATTTTTTTAAATTTTTATTTTGGTGTAGAATCTTTGTGTGGATTCAATCGTCACCCAAAACAGCTGATATCATTTGGCTCAAATTTTTTGTTGAAACTGCAGTTTCATGACCCAGGATTAAAAAATTACAATCAGAAATGTTTTCAATTTATCTCATTTTTAAACTTCAATCAAAACTAGAAATATCTTGGAATTTGTCCGTTGTTAATCAGTTTGTCTGTTTAATGAATAAATAATGCCATAGAAACATTGATGCGTAAATGAGAGAATTATTTTCATGATTATAGTTAATAATGTTAAGGTCAGGAAATCATGTTCCTCATATTATTAAAGAAAGAAAATTCAATCAAGACTTTTAGATTAATCTTGAGTGTACAAAGAAATCGTATAAATTGTGTTTTTAAAAGATATTGCGAACCCAACTTGTATGCAGTACCGTACAGTTCATCGCTCCCAAGCAGAGAAATAAAGTCTAACAATCCAATCTAAGAATAAAGCCAAACAGTCCAAGAGGATATTGAACCCTTGTATGATTGCAGCCTGAGTACACAACAGCCAAGACCCACAAGGGTATTGAACCCTTTCTTATCTGGTAGATATCAAGAGTACAGTTAAAGAGGGAGCTAGGGGAGGATCAATGCTAGAGAAAGGAGCGAAACGGCAGTTTTATCAGCCATCTTATGCCGAAGAACTTGTCAGTATGGACAAAGCAACAAATAGGAGGAGTTCCATGAAATATACATCGTCAGTTTGTATACTTAAACCTGTAAATATAGTTTGTGTGTAACCATGTGTTTCATTATTCCACTCAATCTTGGTCTTTTACTTTCAGTCCTTCAATCAAGTCTATAATATCTTCAGGTTTTCCTTCTAATCATGAAAATAACACTTTCTTGGATTCCTTTGGTCTGTGATAGCTTTTAAATAAACAAAACAAAAGATTATCAAAAAACGAGTGCTTGACCCTTTAAAGTTTTACAAAACTGGGTCTACTTTTTGTACCTCAAAAAGTTGAATTGGATGTTAAGACAGTTTTGTAAGCAGCATTATTTACAATATTTTAAAAATCAGTTTGTAAATTAAAAATTACCTTTTTCATTTTTTCTGACAGAGGTTCCAGAATCCTCAATTCTATCTACAAAAACATTTACGTATTTTGTTTTATATCCAATCAGAAAAAAACCTTCCTTAAAACATGGAACAAAAATTTAGCATTCCTTTGGAAAAGGCGAGTTAAAGGGAGAAACCGACTAGACCTGGAGGTTGAGCTAAAAATGCAGTATTGGTGAGAAATACTTTTAATACCAGGAGACATTTTTACAGTGTAAAATTTTTTATAAGAGCATAAAGTTGTTTGTAATATTACACCATGGTTTCCTGATTGCTTAAAGAGACTGCAAAGGAAAAATTAAAGTGGATATTTAGGAGTTGATCAAGACCCATGAGAGTTCTATCTGATGTTCCTGTCTCGAGAAACTGATATAAAACTGTGTCAAATTTATACAAAATTCTATATATATAAATTTTTTTTTATAAAAATAGCAGGCTTAAACAGATCATATTCAGCAAATCCACAATGAATATGAAAACAACGATATCCCAGAGGAGCCTAAGAAACTTAGGTTTGCTCCTATTATTATTTGAATTTAATAATTTTTCATTTTTAATAGATATAATTGATAATATAATAAATATTCCCGTATCATGTGACCAGAACTCCCACCAATGGCAGTGCAGTATCATTATCATGTGACTCCGTCTGTATTACGTGACCAGTATACTGCACAGCCATTGGTGGGAGTTCTGGTCAAGTGATACAGACGTATAAATAATATGATCAATTATATCTTTTATAAATGAAAAATTATTAAATTAAAATAGTAATAGGAGCAAACTTAAGTTTCTTAGGCTCTTCTGGGATATCGTCGTTTTCAGATTGGTTGTGTATTTTCTGAATATGATCCATTTAAACCTACTATTTGAATACAAAATTTTATATAAATATTATATAGATTTTTCGCATAAATTTGACATCGCTTTATATCAATTTCTCGAGACAGGACCTAAAATGCTTAGGTTTCAGCCTATACCCCCTTTAATTTTTCCTTTACAGTCCCTTTCATCTCGATATCTTTTCTTTAAAGACATACTACAGCAAGAAAAAAATTTATTTCGAGAAAAATTATCATTGACTTTTTTTTGGATTTTCGCAACCCGAACTAGAAGTAGTGACACATTAATAATCTTTTAAGTCCACTTTACAAAATAAGTTTTTAAAGTCTGAAACGGCGTGAATTTTAAACTTATCTAAATGCATAACGAAATTATTAAACGGATTATTGCAATTTACATTATCAACACAGTTATTAAATTTATGCATTCACTTTTGAGACCTAACAGACTATGAAGAGTTCTCTGAATTTGGTTTGACAAAACCACTTATGCTGTTTTATAGCGCTGGAAATGAAGTATTTTAAAGTTTCAAAGCACTCGTTTCTAATTTGAGTTTAAAGGAGAAATTGACAAAATTGAATCTACAGATGACAATTTTTAATCGTTTTAAAAATCAAAGAGTAAAAAGAAAAAAAAATAAAGAGAAAAAATAAAGTGGATCAACTGTTCGAGTTTATTACATAATACATATACACGTAATTAATGATTAAAAATAGTTTGATGATGTTCTTCATGGATGGTTGATACATATTCCTGAACTAAACAAATAAAAGATACTTATTGTGGATAATTCTGTTTTTAACCCTATTCCTGTAGTTTTTTTTACATAACTCAAAAAGTATTGGTCTGAGGCTGTTGAAATTTTCTGACTTTTCTTACATACCCAAAGCCCTCCCTTTAGGCCTAAAACCGGGCTTTAATACTAACTGCCTGAGTCCTCAGGCACACTGCCTGAATGACTGCTTTTGCCTGTAGCAAACTAAATCTTTGTTTTGACCCACTTTCACTTGTCAGATTTTGATAAAATTTAGCTTTTTGGAAAGCCTATGACATAAGGAAACGGATTGCACAAGTTTTGCGAAAAAAAAATTGCAATTTTTTTGCAAAAAACCTGTCAAAGGAAATTTGCACATTTTTAGTTTTTCTTGATTAAAAATCAGGTTATTTAAAATTTTGCAAATTTTTTTGCATATTTGAAATGGCATGGTCAAGGGCTTTTCAAAAATGTATAATTTGTCATTTTTTGGACAAATTTTTTTTTGCAAACATTTTTACTATAAAACTGGATTTTGCGATAAAAAATTCAATTTTCGCAAATTTGCAAATTTTTTTGCAGATTCTAAAAGTAGAGCACAAGAGCTTTCTAATGATGTATCATTTGTCATATTTTGACATAAAACATGGGATTTAGAGGGGGGGGTCAAATTGACCCCCCCCCAGCGTATCCTGGTTTTCAAGTACCCCAGCGGGGATAGGGTTAATATAATCATCTTAAAATAATAATGATAAATAAAATCAGCAAACATTCAATTTGCTGAAACTGTGTCTAAATGTTTTTTTTTATATTTTACAGTGAGAACCAGAAAACGTTGGAAAAGAAAGACGACTTTTAGAATTAGAGTACGAATTTAAATAGTCCAATGAGTATGACACACAACAATTGTGCAGTGTAAACAGACCGATTTCTTTCAATAAGTGATTTATTAAGTTATTTGTGAAACTATTTGCTTTGTAACAGCATCAAATAAACTTAATTATTGCTTTAATGTCGTCTTCCTATTCCACAGTTTTCTGGTTCTCACTGAATAATTTATCTATATACTGAAAGATGTCAGATGAGGAATTTAAACTAAATCAAAATATATTAAGTAGCTGGAGCCTGGAGCCAACCTTTTTTAGAAGTAGCCATTTTTGTTGAGTTAGTAATACACTTAATTATTTTTCATTCAATTTTATCTACATTTTTATATCAATAAGATCTTAAATTTAGGTTTATTCAATTTAAATCATGCATTTAGATTGGTTTCATTATATCTTGCTTGATTAGATACACAAATCATCACAACATCCTCATTCCTCATGCTTGATAGAACTCCGGTATAGAGAGAGACCACTGTTTTCTGTATACCTCTGTATTAGTTCTTTGTAAACGCGATCTCAGCGTTGTTTGGTAGTTTGTTATAACATTCATCCTACACTCTAAATTATTGGTAAAGTAACAAAAATAAGGACTAATTGATAAACAATTAGGTGTTTTATTCTTCAATACTTAAGTGCACCGAGTACACCAAAACATAAGATTTGGGATTAGGTTAGGGTTTTTATAGGTTAGCGTTTTTAAAAGGGTAGCGTTTTCATCGGTTAGCGTTTTTATAGGGTAGCGTTTTTATAGGGTAGTGTCTTTTTAGGGTAGCATTTTTTAGGGTAGCGTTTTTTATCATGACAAATAGATCATCTAAATCAAATACTACATAAAGGGTCAATCACAAAGAATGCAACTTTAATGACGTTTATAAACGTTACGAATTGGTTTATTTTGGTCAGCTGTATTAGATAAACTCTTTCAACGGCATCTTACATTATATAGCAAAGAGATAAGCTTGTTTTAAACTGCAGGGATGTGTGTAGGGAGAAAATATTTAATGAAATCGTCTCTGAAGTCTCATCCTTGTTGGGAACCCTTAAAGCGCTTTTTTACAAACATGGCAAAAAAATATGACACCGGTCTCTTCGTTTTATTTTTTGAAAAGAAATAAAGTTTTTTCGTTGTCTCATTTCGTTGTCTCAGTGTATAAACAACGTTGAAAATGTATTTAATAAACACGTTTAAGCATTTTTAAAAAATCACGAATTTCTATTTTTATTAAAAATCTTTTTAAAAAAAACAGGCTAAAAAATCCTTTAAATGAAAATTCTAAGCAGTCTAAATTTTCAGATATGTACATATATACTCTTGTAGTCGTAACATTCCAGTTTCCTGTTCTTGTTTTATGTGGTATCAGCTTTCATTTTTTCAATTATTCTTAATTCTATTTAAACTAGTTTTCTATTATTTGAAAACAAAAGAAACCGGGAACGTAATTTAGTTTAGCTATTGATTATACGGTATTCTTAAAGGGACTGTAAGCGCTAGTTCAAGTGACCTTCGCATGCAAAGATGGCTATGCCCGATTTTTAACGGTACCCTTGAAAGCTTTGTCTGATCAAGCATTAAAAATTGATATCCATGCTTTTGTTTTTTTGAACTATTTATTTTCATTTGAGGTATTTCTGCAGAAGATAACTTGCATGTCGTGGACTGAGTATATCTAGAATGTGTTTTGTGGATTTTTACAGAATCGCTTAATTCTAGAAACCTCTTCATCCTATCTCTACGTCTAGTTAACTAAATTCTAATCTGTAAAAATTAATAATCATAATTATTTCTTTCTTTTGAGGCATCTTGTAAAAGTAACTAATAACTCACTAGAACCAAAACTTTTCCCAATCTCATTATATTTGCAATTTGATGGTGTTTAATTTTCCCAATCTCATTATATTTGCAATCTGATGGTGTTTAATTTTCCCAATCTCATTATATTTGCAACCTGATGGTGTTTAATTTTAGATATTTCCAACTCTAACTACGAAGTTAAGATGCAAAATATAGGCACTGAAAACTAGAGTTCTAGGCGAGTAATTAGTAACTACAACCATCAAATAAACACTTTTTGAGAAATTCAATACTTTCATAGGAAGGGGAGGGAGGGGAGGGTTCGAGTCTGAGAAAGTGGTCTCGAGGACATGTATAAAATGATGGGAGGACATTAATCAGCTTAATTGAGAGAATAAACTAAATCTTAAAGTTACTGAATTAGCTTAGAACAATAAAAGTATTCAGAGAACCAAGATAAGCTAGAGAATTTAGATCAGATAAAATAGCTACCAGAGCAGCTAAAACAGTCAGAGCATCTTGAACTTACAACAGCAGCTAGAACTTTAATAGCTGTTAGAGAAACTAGAGCAGCTAGAACGATTTGAGAAGCTAGAGAAACTAAAGAGCAGCTAGAAAAACTGGAGCAGCTAGAACTAATATAGCGGCTAGAGAATTAACCAGAGCTGCTCTAAAAACTAAAGAAGCGAGACAAATAACTGAAGCTAAAGAAAACTGGGGAGGCATAGTAGTCCTATAACATAGAAACAAACACAATCAAAATAGTTATAACAGCTTGGGAAGTTGGAAAATCTTGAAAAGCAATAACAGTCACTACATCTAGAGTAAATTAAACGGCAAGAACATCTAAAGCAGCTAAGCTATAGGAACGGAAGCTTGAGTAGTCGAAGCAGCTGGATTAGTTACAATCGCTAGAATAGCTATATTAGCTGAAGCAGCTAGATTAGTCAGTACAATTGTATGCTTCTTCATTTCTTGGTTTGTTTTTTTCCATTGCGGTGTACTAGGAACTTGTTAGCCTGCAACCTGTATCACTAAATAAACACTAAATTAAGAAAATCTTATTTCTCAATATAATTCCAGGAATATCGAGTGTCAGTGTTGGACTAAGGGTCGAGGCATGATCTATTCAGTCTTTATAGCTTTAGTCTTAGGAAAGTAAAATTTGTTAAATGTATTTTATAGAGTGTCAAATCCGAGATTCACAACGATACCTTAAGAAGATTACTTACAATAACGACGACAGTCCTGAGCCCGCGATTTATAAAATTCGGGAAAATACGGCTCGGGTCTAAGCTGTCATTGGGCCTTATTTACGGCTTGAGCTTTCGGATTCAATCTGCATCTTATTTTCCACAGAGTTGAGTTCAAAAAACAGTTTAATATTCTATTTGGCAGATTTTCACGATTGAAATTGGCACATTCTGGGTTTTGATGAGAACAAGACTCAACATTGAGTCTTATTCTCCACTAAAACCAACCAAGATCGGTTTTATTTTCATTGGGCCTAACTCCTAAGTCAAGCCTAAGATCTTGCAGCTGTCAATCACGTGACACAAGCTGTCTTCAGAATTGGTACGAAGATCGGGTTTCAAAGTCGGGTTTAAGGAATTACGGCTCAAGCCGAAGTTTTTGAATCACGGGCTCAGATAATTATTTCTAAAAGGGAGGCAAATTACCATATTATCTTCAGGATGCATAAACGTGAATGGTGAAGGAGAAAGTGATCTTGAAGAATTTAATCTTCATTTACATTTTGACTACAGGTGACTAACAGACAAAACTTACATCAATATTTGATTATGAATTAATATTGGAAAAAAAATGATTAAATGTTATAAAATCTACTGTCTCTAAGAAATCAGACCGAAGAAGGATAATGAAAATTTTTCTCTGAAATGATAATCTTTCCGTACGTGTCAAAACCCTTTGATCTCCGATACAACCTTTAAACCTGTTTTTTTTAATTATAAATTTATATTTTCAATAGAATTATTATGTAAAATTCAAAATCACTCTAATTCTTCAAAATACACTAAAATTTATTTGACTAAAAATGTGCAATTGTAGTGATCCTGATGATCAGAAAAAAACGATGATTCCTAAAGAACGAATAGATATAGAACATCCAGGAGATCTCATGAAAAAGAAAGATCTTAAGATCAAAGAAAAGGCAAAGAGAGCACTTTTTGAAGATAGAAGAGATCAGGTTTAGTTCTATCATTAAAAAGAAAAAGAAAATGCAAAAATGTAATCTGTTAAAAAGTTATGAAACTATGAAAGCTGTAGATTACTAAAAGCTCTTTGAAGAAAGAAAAACAAATGTTTATTAATTTAAAAAAGATTCAAAAATGAATAAAAAATATTTCTTGAAATTACTTTTGAAATAATTTACAAAAGCGTCATTTATTGTATATAAAAGGCTACTAACGAATGTTTTACAATTCAACCAAAGATTTTCAATTAATTTCATTGTCTTACTTATTTTTCTAAAAATGTTAAACCATTGACAAATTTAGAATTATATTTTTATCAAATAAATCATATAAAAAAGAAGATATCTTAAAGGGAATGTAGAAGTATTCATACCTGTACTCCTTTAAACCGTCAACTGATCAAGGATAACGGACTAATGCTTAATTCTCTAGCAAAAAATGTATACTTTCATTTGAATTTTTTAAAACAACATTGGATATTCGGGATATTCGTGAAATATATGTAAGTCACACTGTACGCAAGCGTACACTCCAGTTTTTTTTGGCAAATTGAACACCATTATCGAGATAAACATACTAGGAGTTCTCCCCCCTAGATGATTAGTTGAAGGTTTAAAGTGGTTTAGTGGATACCGATCTAACTCAAGAATGTCCTTTTTTACATGGAGGGTCACTTGAAATTACGCTAGAGTCTCTTTAATAAAAGATCTTGAAGGTAGATAATTCTGAAAACAGAACATAAATTTAACTTTTTTCTCAGGAAGAGACTCTGAATCAAGAAAATCGATCTATTCTGGCAGTAAAAGGTAGTTTGTTTTGCTTCTTTAAATAAGGATAACATCACCTAGAAGTTTTAAATTAGATAAGATCTATTTGGAGGCGCTGTTTATATTGTCTCGGTTCAGAAAAGGTTTAATTGGAGGCTCTTTTTACAGGGGTTATATTTTAAATTTCTCAGGTTTTCTTTTTAGAAAAGCAATACTTTATGGAGGCACTTTAATTGATTTAATTTGTTATATTTATATTTTAAAAAGGTTTTTTGAGGCACTTCTTCAGGTTTTATGTTTAGAATAGTAATTCTTGGACTTTAAAGTCACTTTTACAGTTACTAAATTTAGAAAAGGTATATTATACGCAATTTTGACAAGATTTGTGTTTAGAAATTATTTCTACAGTTTTGTATTAAAAATATTTACATTTTCAGAAAAAAATCTTGAAAAAGAAGATCATAAAACAAAAGATCTTGTAAAAGAAAATCTCATAGAAGAAGAACTTAAAAAAGAAAATCTTGAAAAAGAAGATCATGAAAAAGAAGATCATGAAACAGACGATCATGAAACAGAAGATCTTGTAAAAGATGATCATGTAAAAGAAAATCTTGAAAAAGAAGATCATGAAAAAGAAGAAACAGACGATCATGAAACAGAAGATCTTGTAAAAGATGATCATGTAAAAGAAGAACTTGAAAAAGAAGATGTTGAAAAAGAAGATCTTGTAGAAGAAGCTGGAAATGATTATTCTGAGGTAAAAACTGTTTTTGTTAAATTTCATGAATTCATTTATTAACTTGAAACTGATTCATTTCATTTTAATGTGAAATTAAAATTTACTCGGTCTATACTGTTTTATAAGTCGCTTGTAAATTTACTACTTATAACTTATTAATTATACATAATTGATGTGGAACTGTTTTATTTAATCATGATAACTTGTAATCTAAAAATCGGTTTACAGGGTGATTCATTTGAAGAAAATATTGCTTCAGCAGCTTCACCTACAGTGAATAAAGGGGAAAAAACTCAGAAAGCTCTGGAAAACGGTAACAATTTAAAGGGACTGTCATCGTAATCTTAAGTGACCCTCTAGTCAAAAAGGGAAATGCCCGATTCACAACAGTACCCATGAAACCTTAATCTGATCAATAATGTGAAAGATAACTTCGGGTTTCTAGCTTGAAAAGTGTTAAGTTTTCTTGTTTGTTGCTTAACCGAATCACAATTATGAAAATTCATAGTTTGGATATTCATACTTGATCAGGCAAAGCTCTGGAGGGTACTTTATGAATGGATGGTTATTTGAAATTAAGTTTACGGTCCCTTTAAACAACTCAAGTTAATTTTTTAAATTCTTCAAATGCTTTTCATATCATTAGAGCTGTCCGTTTCAGAATATTTGAATATAATATAAAAGCCTTTTTGTTATAAATTTTGTCAGATATTTGTATGTGATGCTTAATCCTATTTATTGTTTTTCATTTCAACGACGTTTATCAAAATGATAAAGAATTCATAATAAAAGTTATTCTATCCAAGGTTATAATGCAAGGAAAGTTAATTGCAGTTGCATATACTCTGCGTACATATTGAAACCAGTTCTCTCTGTGGGGAATTTGTTAGCAAGAATAGATGCATCAGTGTTTGTTTTGTATCCGAGGAGGATAAAAGCATTGAATTTTGAAAATTTTGATAATTCACATAATAGTTTCCTATGACCAGAATATAACATTGATTTTTTATGTGAAAGATGGATCCCATGTAAGGCTGTGACATCCTTCTTGTGCACTGCAGTAAAAAAGATGCGCACACCTCTGAAATAACTTTCCTTGCATTATAACCTTGATTCTATCAAAGTTTGATGAGATTGTATACTGTGCAGTACGCTGCGTATTGCACAGTATTAGGGTTTCCAGTAGAAGTAAACTTTCGCAAAAATATGCAAAATCTCGCAAAAATCCTCTTTCGTAAAATTGATGCGGAATCTTACGGGAAAAAACATTTTCGTGAAAAAACCGATTTTTTCATTTCGCTGGATTAATTTGTTTACCCTGAATTTCCTTGGTGTTTATTTTCGACAGGTGGTTAGAAAAATAAGATGTTTTCTGACATTTACTTAAAAACACTTAATTTTACCACCTTGGACCATCACTAACGACCTAAATTCCCCCCAACAGAGGGAAGTTAAGCTACTTAACGTCCCTGGACAAGTAAGTAAAACAACAAAACGTTTTCAGAATTTTCGTGCAAAATTTTGCGCATTTTCATCTTAAAAGACGATAAAATTTTATTTAACTACGGGTTCCTTAGCTTCCCGTGAGTGTAAGGTAGTTGTGAATAATTACAAACTAAACAATGGTTAATTTATGTTTCTAAAAAATACAAAATATTTTTCTAACAAGGCTTTACAGAACTAATTCATCCTCGGAAATGAACAATTGGACCCATTATAAGAATTTATAAAAACTTGATCTTATTACTACGTCTACACTTTTTTATCCCTTTTTGCTGTTAGCTAAATTACCGCACGGTGCAGCGTTTTTTACCAAATTAATACATGAACAGTAAGTTCAGTTAATCAGTTAAAACTGAACGGTTCTATAAGGTTGTTGTCGTACCTATATACCACTTTAAGAAAGATGTTTTGCATTAAATAGCAAAACAGCAGCTATTGTGATGGTATAATAACTAACAGAACTACAGCTGATGAAGAAACCAGTAGGACAGAAAGTGAAAGACTCGATGTTAAGGATAGTTCTGAATTCAATCAAATATCCGCTCTCTCGTAAGAGAAAGTAAATTTTCAATTTTGTTATTAGATCTTAATCAGATAGCTGTAAAAGAAATGGTGTTTTTTTAGATTTTTTTGAAATTTCTAAAAATTGTTCCAGCTTTTGTGGAGTAAAGAAGGTGAAGCCATATTTTTTATAAAAAAAAAGCCTTAGGTCGGAACTTTTGTTTTCCAAATCCATTCCTATGGGACTACTCGTTTCTCCTACCCATTTAAATACTTTAACTGAAACAAGATATTACAAATACAAGCCTGATCAAATATTAACACATTTCAGGAGAAAATTGACCAAATATATATTTTATTATTTTGATTGGAATGATAAGATCAAATATGAATGAAAAATATAAATATATTCGATAATCTTTCTAAAACTAAATATTTTTTACATGAAATTAACACTTTTTTAATTCATAGGATGTTTTCTTAAAAATAGCTCTTCTTGAGCTCGATATCAACAGTGGGGCACTTTTTAATTTTACGCTGGATCTGCTTAATCTCTTGATTTAAGATATACAATTACACAATTTCTCTGTTCTCTTATTGGGTGAATGTAAAATTCACCTAGTTTGGATTGGTTGCAAACAGGATACATTGTTAATGGGCACTTCATGGGATATGGAAAAAAGATTGAATTAGTCTGTAGGTTGAAAAAAGATCTAGATCAAGTATTGATCTCCATACAAGAGTTCCCTCCTAAGAGCTGAAAACTTAAGATTTGGATACCTTTAATCCGATTAGGAAATCTATCCACTGTCTTTTGATTTTCTGATAATCCTCTCTTTTTGGATATCCTTGCTGGATTGCACCAATGAGAGTTTGCTTGTTGATTTTGCGGGCAAAATTTCTCTACTTCTAATTGGCTGTTCTGTATTTTGTATACGCCACTTTATTGGTTGAACTTTTTTATAAAATTTCCAGGATACAAACTAAAGATTACATTAACCTTGAGATAAATTAAAAGAGAAGATCAAGCATTTATCTCAATATCCACCAGTCTAAAGTTTTCAGCTCAGGTTGTTTTTTAACATAGGATTAAAATTATACTTGGGGAGTAAGTTCTGATATAAATTCTTAATCCCTGTTTCCCCCCTAGCCAGGAGTCTGGGCAGAACTATATAGTTGGAGGAATAGAGGATGTCGAGACTCTAAATCAACCATGGATGGCGAAAATAATGATCAAGTAAGACAAAAAACAAGAATCAAATCTAAAAAAATATAAATTTCTATTGTATAGAAGTGGGTTTAAGATAGGATACTGCTCTGGTAGTGTTATCAATTCAAGATTTGTAATAACTGCAGCACATTGCTTTTGTTCATATGGTAACCTTGATATTTTATACTGCGTACATTTGTCACCCAAACAACTAAAGATATTTAAATTTTTTTATTGGCAAATTGAAAATGAAAAATTCAAAAAAATATTTAAATCTTGATCAGCAATACACCAACGAAGTCACTCAACGATCGGTTAAGCCGTTTTGACATGTATTAATTCCTAACAAACCAAAAGACGAGTGTTTAAAAGGTTACTTTTAATTTCTTTTTTTTCAAAGGTTGGTGTCTGACTGAATCTAAAACTTTTACAACAGGTCTAATTATTTATTAATTTTATTTTTTTATTTTTTAAAAATTGTTTTTGTTTGTTTAATCCTAAGAAATGTTGAATTTTAGAATCGGAGGGAGTGTTTTTAGAAAATGTTGGATCGTATCAGGCAATTGATTTTTAGACCTTTTTGATTATTACACTATTCCCATTAGAAGATTAAAAAAAATGGAATCTTGAATTTCAAACAAATTAAAAAAAATCATAAAAATTAAAAGATGATTTTATAATTGTCTCTTTTGAATTAAATGTCAAAGTTGGGATTTTTCCAAGGATTCTAAGATTCTTAGTATTGGAAAAAGGGCACACCAAACTATAGTAAATTTCACGTAAGATTAAAATTTTTTTATATTTTTTATTAAGGTGCTTTTGAAAAGAACAAAAATGTTTTGAACTTTCAATAATTATTACTTAATAATTAATAATATGCAACTAGATTAATGTACAATAGTACGACGTTGTACGTTTAATCCAAACTAAAGGCGCTACGATGTTTTAAAGTCGTACCTTGGTGTATACCTTGGTTTCGAGAGAGGGGCCGGGGGGTTAAATTTCGGTAAAAGGTAAAAGATCGGTTACTTGTACGGTTTTAATTTTCTACTTTGATCCAGGAGCTTGACTTAGAACCTGTAGAGTCTGGACAGGATTATCAATATAGCCCTGATGAAACACCAGTTCAAACCTACTCCGGGGAAACTATATTTATTCATCCTAAAAGGTAAAATCAAGATATTTCAGAACCAGGCATCCCTTCTCCCTAGTTATCTTTCTTAACGGGACTGTAGACAGAAATTCAAGTAAACCTCAATTTATAAAGAAATATATTATTTTCAATTGCGAAAATCTAAAACTTTATAAAAACTAAAACATCTTTTAATGAAGGGTTACATGAAATTACGTTCTTAAGTCCTTTAAATGTGTTTTGAATTAATTATGATTTTATGGATTTTATATTTAGGGTTGAATTACAGAAAACATCTGATAAATACAGCGGAGTTTATGATTTTGCTCTCATCAAAATTAAAACTGTTTTGATATTAGAAGATCTTATTCAACCCATCTGCCTTCCCTTTAACACAAGTAAACTTTTACCATAATATTGATATCTATATAATTTAGAACATCTATATATATATACTTTGCTTGTCTTGTTTGATTGTATCCAATAAACATAATAACGGCTGAACCGATCGAGCCCAACATTTCTCATTCAGGAAAGGTTTTGTGATGCTTGAAATTGAAAGAAAAAAATTGTGTCCAAAATTTTTTATTTTCGTGAAACATTGAAAATACACGAACATTTTTTTTAATCCGCAACATTTTTTTAATCCGCAACATTTTTTTTAATCCGCAATGTTTTTTAATCCGCAACATTCTTTTTGTCCGCTACATTTTTTAGTCCGCAATTTTTTTTTAATCGGCAACATTTTTTATCGTTTTATCGAAGAGAAGATGCTGAAAGATCGAGAATCAATTAAAAGATGATATAGAAGATGGGCGCGAAGCGCCCTTATAGCCTAGTACATTTGTGAACAAAAATCACAACTTTTGTGTTGGGAACTCTGGAATAAATGCTTAATCTCTATCTTATTGTAAACCTTCGGTTTTATTCAATTCCTCTTCTAAATCCTGTTGAGGTCATACCTTGCAGGGATCAAGCATAGATTCTCAAATTCAAAAGTGCGAGATCAAGGGTTCAATTATTAACTTTACTTCACAGAAAAGTTTCTCTCAGAACGATACAGGGTTACCCACAAAGGATGGGACTTCAGAGAAGATTGTACTTAATTATTTTACATCTTTTCATGTCTTACATAATGTAAATGGTTCAGTTATTTTTATTTTGTAAAATTATTTAAACCATTTAAAGAGTTCAGGTCGTCATTTAAGTTTTAAAAAAATAAAATGTCAGACATTTTGTTTAGTGACGATTCCACCAACAGAGACAGATAGTTTTATTGATGTTGGAGTAAAAGCCAAAATTGCCGGTTACGGTCAGTTAGTTCCATATAAGGTAAGCTTTAAGTTTAAATGATAATAGATAGATAAATTATTTTAAAAACGTGATGAAAGATTTAAACAACTTAATGTTATTTCAAAATAAAAAGTATCTCAACTGTTATAGCTATATCAAACTATTGTTATCTATATATTGGTTTGGGTGTCGGGGTGTTTGTTTGTTTGTTTGTATCCAATAAACATAAAAACGGATAAACTGATTGGGCCCACGTTTTTTTGTATTTTTGGGTTTTACAATGAAAAGCAATAGTTAAACGCTGAACTTTTTCTTATAAAAAGGGACGCCCGAAGAGCCTAGTATTGATATAACTGTGCTTTACATTTTTGTGAGTAGAAGAAATATCTATCTATCTAAAGTACATTGGAGAAGGAAGACGACTGTTACACTCAAGTAATGATTTTTCTCTCCGTTTTGAGACTTGGGAGTACTTCGAGAAAAATCACCGACACAGGACCTTGAGAAAAGAATAAATACTTTTTATGACTATTCTTGACTATTCTATACAAAAACTACAAACAACTTCAGAGAGAATATTACTATAAAATTTTCGAATACGTCCTGAAATAGTTCGCGGCTGGAAACACCAAAAAAAAAAAACGAATAGATCGAGAATATAGCAATACCCCCTTTTTAAAACGGTCTTACTCATCCTTTACTCTATCTTCAGATTTTAACCTCTTAATGTAAATTTTAGTCCTAGCTCTTCACCTTGCCAATTTTTCTTGAAGAATGACCTTGAAAAACGTGATTTTTACCCCAAAATTATTTGGTTTGGAAACCATTCAATATCCGTTCCCAGAAATGTCGTCTTCACAATGATTTTTTGTCCTTTTCCCCTGAACCTATATCTATTTGTGCGTACTCTACACTCGGAATCAAAAAATTTTAAATATGTAGTTTCTTAAACATGAAACACGGCAATTGTGTAGCATACTACAGGAAAAAGGTATGTGCAAACTGCACAATTGCTGTGTTTCACGTTCAATCAGAACATCAGTCTAAAAGTCGTCTTCCTATTCCACAGTTTTATGGGTTTCACTGTATAATGTTAAAAAGTTTTATCTCTAGGGAGAGAAATGTTTAACTGACAGTACTGGAAAGATGAGGTTCCATATATGCAAGGAGACAACAATATTTATCAAAATAAAACATCTCGTTATTTTTGTTTACTCTGAGAAAAGTAAATCTTAACAGTTTTTGTGAAAATCATGATTATTGTTGATGTAATTGGTAGGATGCAGGCCTGTTCAGCCCCTGCAAGTGAGATCATTCTAGTATTAAATATCTAAATTAGTCTTTTTTTCTAATAGGTTGTTCTACTAAATATAACAATTGAGAGAAGCTAAAATATCGTCGTTAATCTCTGTATGGTTATTTCAGGACAAAAAATGTATAGGACTTTACAGGTTTCCATAATGTACTGTACTCATGAAAAGCTTATATTTAAAACAGACTTTGTCTTTAGACAGCTTCAAAGACGATCTTTAAGTCATTTCTTAATTTATTTTGATTATATCAAAATATAAAAATCTGAAATAAAATAATTAATAATGTAAAGGAGAGAAGCTCCCCCAACTCCTTACAGCAAGGAGAAACCTGAAGGATTGCATGGATGGTGTAATGTACAGCTGTACAAGGTACGTAAACATTAGTAGTACAACAGGAATTTTTCTCAGCTTGGTTTTAAATTTTAAATTGAGTCAGTTTACTTTTACAGATAAAGTTTATATCTCCAGGTAAAGCTGTGTTCCCAAGCTGCAGTTAATTAATCAAATTCTACAATTAAGGGGGAGAACGTATCTGAGAGTGAGAGCTGGGGATTCTGTTCTGCATCGTGTAGTAAACGTGAGCTGACCCCCAGCACTTACCACGAGGAGGCAGATGTTGATGTTCTAACACCAGAACGATGTCAGGAGTAAGTATCAGCTGATAATTTTCTAACACCAGAACCATGCCAGAAGTAAGTATTGGCACTAACGCCACAACGATGCCAGGAGTAAGTATCGGCTCTAACACCAGAATGATGCCAGAAGTAAGTATCAGCTGTTGATGTTCTAACACCAGAACGATGCCATGAGAGTATGTATCTACTGTTGATGTTCTAACAGCAGGATGATGCCAGGAGTAAGTATCGGTTCTAACACCAGAATGATGCCAGGACTAAGTATCGGCTCTAACAGTAAGTATCGGCTCAAACGCCAGAATGATGCCAGGAGTAAGTATCGGTTCTAACACCAGAATGATGCCAGGAGTAAGTATCGGTTCTAACACCAGAATGATGCCAGGAGTAAGTATTGGCTCTAACACCAGTAGTTCCGATCTCACCACACTTAATAATGAATGCTTTTTTCTTCTCAATCAAATCGATTAAAGAAAAAATGCGGCAATATTCTATTTAAATTTAAACCTTGTCATTGGGTTTTCAAAAAAGAAAACAAAGAAAACAACTTGGAGCTATATAAAATACATACTAGAGGTTTAAAAAACATTGTTTTTGATTAAAAATAAACATTTCAATATAATTTTCTTTAGAAAAAACATGTTTACCTCGCATATATTCTGAATAATACTAGTCTACGTCAATACAATCAGTGGCCGAATTTAAAGAATTTGAGCGGCGGTTTAAATTTAAGCCGCGGTTTAAATATAGTTGGTTCCACTTAGAATTGTATCAAATGTTTCAATATTTAAACCGGCGCTTAATTTAAACCGGGTTTTGGCGGATTTAAACCGCGGCTCAAATTCTTTAAATTCCATCTCTGGTTAAAAAGTGTTAAAGAATGATAAATGAATGCTACACATTTTTGAATAAAGCATGCGAGATATTAATTAACAAAGTGCACCCAAAGGTACAGAGTGTCCCATATCATATTAGATTATCTCCAAGCTTCAATGCCAAAATAAACATATAATATTCGAAAAACATAGCATTTCCTGCAAGAAAATTTTTATATTAGCCTTTTTCAATTTTTCAAAATGATTTATTCTTCTTAGATTTTCTGATTAGTCCCGGGAATTGTAATTTAGACCCTTTGACGATCTAATATGGTATGGGACACCTTGTATATCCAGAATCCAGATTCTAGATACCTAGGTGTATAGGTATCCAAGTATCATTGTAACCTGTATCTTGTTATCCAGGTATTCTGGTATCTGGGTAGCCAGGAATCCAGGTGTGCTGGTGTGCTGGTGTCTATAGGTATCATGGTATCTAGGTATCCAAGTATTCTGGTATATAGGTGTCTAGGTTTTCTGGTGTCTCGTTATTCTGGTGTCTAGGTATCCTGGTATCCAGGTATTCTGGTAACTGGTTATCCAGGTATTGTGGTATCTGGTTATGTAGGTATCCAGGAATCTAGGTAAACTGAATCATGATGTCTAGACATCCAGATATCATGGTATCGTAGTATCTGGTTTTATGGTGCCTAGGTATCCAGGTATCCTGATATTCTAGTATCAGGTATCATGGTGTCCTGGTATCCTGGCATCCTGGTATCCTGGTGTCCTGGTATACTGGTATACTGGTATCCTGGTATCCTGGTATTCTGGTATCCTGGTATCCTTGTGCCCCAGTATCCTGGTACCCCGGTATCCAGGTATCCTGGTATCCAGTTATCCTGTTATCCTCTTATCCAGGTATCTTGGTATCCAGGTATCCTGGTATCCAAGCATCCTGATATTATAATATCCTCGTATCCTGGTATTCTGGTATCCTGGTATCCGGGTATCCGCGTATCCGGGTATCCGGGTATCCGGGTATCCGGGTATCCGGGTATCCGGGTATCCAGGTATCCGGGTATCTGGGTATCTGGGTATCCGGGTATCCAGGTATCCAGTTATCCTGGTATCCAGGTATCTGCAGATATCCTGCATTAGTATCCTGGTATACTAGCATCCAGGTATCCATCTATCTGTTCATGTATCATCAGGTATTTAGGATTCATGTACTCTGGGATTTTGGTATCCTAGTATCTCAATTGACACTTTAGTTAATAATATTCATTTCATCACTATTTAGATTGTTACAGGACGAGTTCCAGGCTCCTAGTGCTGATTTTGATCCAGAGCTTGAAATCTGTGCCGGACAACAAACATTTGGGCGTAAGTGCAGACTAATAAATGCCTCTTTTAAAGCAGAAGAGTTCGAATCCAAAAATATATTTTTTTTTTTTATCACGTTTTACATTTTAAGCCTAAAATCAGAACAAAACAAAACATTTGAATTGTTGTCCAAAACATCGATAATCCCGGTTTTTTTACTTACCCATTAGTTGTAGCGTTCTCTTGCTGGTTTGGTGGAATTTATATCTTAATAACATATGTTCACTTTATGAATTGCATTTTCATAAACAATTAATGATTTTAGGTAGAAAGAAAAGAGCTGCTGATTTTACAGATAACATCAACGATGGTACCTTTGCTGACGGAGTAATCATGCGAGAAACTCCGGATGGAGAAATTCACTACATCAACATTCAAAAGTAATGGTTATTATTATTAAATTCTTTGCCAAAATTTGTCATGAAAATGTCATGTTTTAGCTAATGTCTATCTACAGATTTCTTTTTGATGAGATTGATAATTAAGGATATAAAGAATATCTGTAAACTAATTTAAAGTTCAGAAGCAACTATAATGGAGAAGAAAGATAATGAAGGGCAAAGGTTGACAAGGGTTTCAAACATGACTGGAGAAGTTGGAGGAGTTGATGCCTGTCAGGTTAGTTCTAGGCAAGGTAATAAGGCAAGGGAAGTCAGGTTAGTTCTAGGCAAGGTAATAAGGCAAGGGAAGTTAATTGCTGTTGCGTATTCTCCGCGTAAATATTGAAACCAGTTCTCTCTGGGCGGTGTTTGAAAACAAGAATAAATGCATCAGTGTTCTTCTAGTATTCGAGAAGGATAAAAGCATTTAATTTTGATAATTTTGATAATTCACATAATAGGGAAGCTATTATGTGAATTATGACCAGAATATTTCATTGATTTTTTATGTGAAAGATGGATCCCATGTCGAAGGCTGTGACATCCGTCTTTGTTTACTTTAAAGCCCAGAATCGGATACAGTACACTGCAGTACAAAAGATAGCGTACACCTCTGAAATAACTATCTTTACATTATATTTCTTAGGTTTTAGGGGTTAATATACGGGAGAAGAAAACGACCCGGCCCGCCCTACCATATGAGTGTACATGATTTGCAGAAAGTACTCCAATCTGAAAAAGAGTTTTTCGAGAGTCGTCTTTTAATTTTTTATATGAAACTATTGTGTACTTTATCATTCTTCCACACTTCATCGTGAATTTCATAATGAAGTAATCATAATAAAGTAATAATACTGCTATAAAGTTAAATTAGCTGTACATTATAGCACGTGTGTTATAAAGTTTTAATTGGTTCCCGGATATTCTTCAAAAGATTTAGGACATTTCCAAAATATTTTGTTTCAATTGAAATGAAAATAAAATTGAAATCAACTTTATATTTTTACTTCTGCTTTGTTTCAAAGCTTATTTGATCAAGAAATCTAGAAATAGCTATTGAAATAAGACAAATACACAAACGCTTCGTAAAATTACCTATAACACTATCATTTTGACACGACGTGCTATACAGTTTTTGGACTTAAATTCTGTCCAAAACCAAAATAACAGTGTTATAAATAGTTGTTTATGTTATTTTTTACTATATCCATATTAAATAAAGTCGATTTTTATTATAAAAAACTCGTTTTTATTGCCTATATTTTTGCATCCCAAAAATGTATTTATTTGGCGTTATTCAGCATAATTGCTGTCCCTGTTTAATGTATACAATAACCTATTCTGAATACATGTACGCGGTATTTGTACAAACATTTTTTATTCAAATGAAGTACCGTCTGCAATGGATGTTTAATCATTTGGTAGGGCGGGCAGGGTTGATTTCTTCACCATTATATTCCATACTCCTTGGTTCCATGTGAATAGTGGATTGTAAAGAACTTCACATAGGATTTTTAAAACTTTGAATATGAAGAACGATATAAAATTTCAAGTTTTCATGGTGAACTATGTACTAGGAGAAGGGTATAGTATTGTTCTAAGGGTATACTAGATACCATGAGAGAGTATTAAAGGTTATTTCTCAGGGTATACTAGATACTACAAGAGGAGTAGCAGTTAGTTCTCAGGGTATACTAAATAATAGGAGATGAATAGAGGTTAGTTCTCAGAGTATACTTGATTCTAGGAGAGAAATAGTAGTTAGTTCTCAGAGTTAACTAGATACTAGGAGAGAAGTAGAGGTTAGTTCTCAGGGTATACTAGATACTAGGAGAGAAGTAGAGGTTAGTTCTGAGGATATACCAGATACTAAGAGAGAGGTAGAGGTTAGTTGTCAGGGTATAACTGATACTAGGAGAGAAGTAGAGGTTAGTTCTCAGGGTATACTAAATACTAGAAGAGGAGTAGAGGTTAGTTCTCAGGGTATACTAAATACTAAAAGAGGAGTAGAGGTTAGTTCTCAGGGTATACTAGATACTAGAAGAGGAGTAGAGGTTAGTTCTCAGGGTATACTAGATACTAGGATAGGAGTAGATGTTAGTTCTCAGGGTATACAAGATATTAGGAGAGAAGTAGATGTTAGTTCTCAGGGTATACTAAATACTAGGAGAGAAGTAGAGGTTAGTTGTCAGGGTATACTGAATATTAGGAGAGGAGAAGAGGTTAGTTCCCAGAGTATACTAGATACTAGAAAAGGTTATTTTTATTAATTAAATATTTTTTGTACATGATCCCAAAGTCTCCTACTTTTTAGGGAGATAGTGGAGGACCACTTTGGGTGGATTGGGATCACAAAGCAGTGCTGACTGGTAATAAGCACTGGATAATCCAGTTTATACTGGATCTAGTCTTCATTTGATCTAGTCTCTATTTGATCTTGTCGTCATTCGATCTTATCGTCCTTTGATCTTGTTCTCATTCAATCTTATTATCCATTGATCTGGTCGTCATTTTGATCAAGTCGCTATTTTATCTAGTCGTCATTTGATATAGTCTGCAATGCAATTTAAAAAAAGGACATTGAAGAGGAATGAGATAAATCCGTAGATCTAGATAAGATGGAGATCGATGGTTAATCTTAAGATTTACAATTTGGAATTCTGGGATGAAAAGTCCTTCAAAAAAAAAGAGGATTATTCCTGTATATTTCTGCTTAATGTTTATCTTTTTTCTCAGAAGATAACGGACCAAATCTTTACAAAATTAATTTTCCAAATAAATTCCTAAATTTCTTAATTTGTTTGACTTTAATAAATTTGAAATGATAAACTTACAATTCCTGAAAATAAATTCATTAATTTAGAATTCAAGAGAACATTTGCTTATTTCGATTAAATCCTTAAAAGGGATTGTCAGATTTTCAGATTGTCAGATTGTCAGATTGTCAGATTGTCAGATTGTCAGAATGTTGGATTATCAGGTTGTCAGAGTGTCAGATTGTCAAATTGTCAGATTGTCAGATTGTCAGATTGTCAGATTGTCAGATTGTCAGATTGTCAGATTGTCAGATTGTCAGATTTTCAGATTGTCAGATTGTCAGATTGTCAGATCGTCAGATTTTCAGATTGTCAAATTGTCAGATTGTCAGATTGTCAGATTGTCAGATTGTCAGAATGTTGGATTATCAGGTTGTCAGAGTGTTAGATTGTCAAATTGTCAAATTGGTAAAAATAATACAATCGTGATTTTTTATGACACTGTTAAAATGCAAAGACATTAACAGCCTTCTGATGGTAAATTCTCTCCGCGTAAATGATTATTTACCAATGATTAATTAAATGTTAAAGGAGTGGTTTCAAGAGGTAAGCTGTGTGGAGCATTAAATAAGTAAGTTTTATTTTTAAATCTTGCATCCACCGATGTACAATCTTAGCTTGAAACTCTTGCATTGTGGATATCGAGATCAATCTTTGATCTCCTCTTTTTGTTAATCTGCAGATTAATTTAATCTTTATTTGTCATCCAGGAAAGTGTCTAAATTTCAACCAATCCAAGTGTCGTTTAAAGAAACCGAACAGCTAATCAAAAGCCATGAAACTTTGCGCCCAACCAATTACAGAACTCTCATTAGTCGGAACCCAGAAGTGATATCCACATGAGAGGATTTAACAGAAAAATCAAAAGTGTCCACAGTGGATATCGATATAAGGCGAACGGGATAGAGGGTATCCAACACAAGAGTTCCAGCTCTGGCTGTATTTAATATTGTAGAAAACTCAGTCATATCTCTCATATCTCAAATCTCATATCTCAAAATTCATGAAAAACATCGGAAACAAATTTAAAAACGTTTATTTCCCAAATAAAAGTACAACAAAGAAAATATTAATTAAGTTAGCGATATTGAATGATAGATATCTAAATTCCTATGAACGGTAAAACCTAAAAATCATCTTGTAAAAGGATTACAATTAATAATATATTTGTCTATTACTATATTTAAACTCCTTCCAATGGAATCTAACGAAAGTTCAGATGACCCTTTATTTATGGAGAGGCATGTACAATTCAAAACGGTACACTGGAAAGCTTAATATGATCATGAATTAATAAATTATTAGAATTTAAACTTTGAAAATTGATTATGTTTAATTGTGGGTTACTGATAAAACTGACCTGCAGACTCCTAGTACAGGAAACAATGAAGGAAATTTCAGAATTAAATACTTTCCTAGATAAAGGTTTAACGGGTACTGTTGTGAAACGGGCATGCTCCTCTTTAATAAAAGAGGTCATTTGAAATTGAAGGACAGTCCCTTTTATATTTGAGGCCTGGTATTTACTCCCGTGTTCTACCCAGCCTAGGATGGATTTATAATATTACAAATACATTTGGATGCTTTACTATGTAATATCATTGTAAATAAATCTTATGAAAATGTGATATTGTTGTAATATCATCACCAATTATAAATTGAATGTAATATTATGGTTGTTACAAAATTGCAATAGCATTTTTATTTTGAACCTGTTTAAAACTAAAAACAGTTATATATTAAGATTACCCTACTTGATATATTTCAGTCATCAAAATCTGAGGCTGAATTTCAAAAATTAAGCCGGCGCTCAGTTGAAACTGTTTTTTTGGCATATTCGAGACGCGACTCAAATTCATTCAATTCAGACTCTGGACACCTTATTTATTCCCTGTTTATTCCAGAATTTTGGAACACCCTGTTTATCCCTTTCTTCTGGGACACCCTGCTTTTCTCGTTATTCTGGAACATCCTGTTTATCCTTGCATTCTAGGACATCCTGTTTATCCCTGTGTTCTGGGACATCGTGTTTATTTCTATATTCTGGGACACCCAGTTTATCCTAGTTTATGATAAGGATGTATGCAGGGTTCTAGGTTTTATACTGCAAACCTGTCATATAAATCCTAGTTACGTCCGTCATATTTCCAGCTCCATGTACATTCATTCATTCATCCATTCATCTATCCTTCCATCTTTATTTTCATCCATTCAGCCTTCATCTTTCTTTCATTTATCCATTCATTTTCATTTTTATTAAATTCTCATTACCGACATATATCGGATCCCATATTTATTTTCAATATTTTCCTGTACGTTTATGAACTGTATCCTCTCCAGTAGCTCCAGCTCCCTCCATTCCATGAGCAGCATGACATCCAGCAGTACCTCTTCTTCAAGTCAGCATCATTGCAAAAACTGACTCTCCAGTGGGAGGCTGCGTGTTAAACAGCCCCTGGCTATCAATGCCTCCCCGTCTCAAGTTTCATAAATATGTTTTAAAATATGATATTTTCTATGTTTTTGGCTTGGGACAAATATATATATTTGATTTGATTTGATTTGATCTTTCCTTCATTAAATACTAAATACGTCCCTCATTTGTATCCGCACTTACTCATTTTCTTCTTGTTTAAACTACGTAAGCATTAAAAGAGGAACAGATTAAAGTCAAATTGCTCCAAAAAGTCCCTAGTTTTAAAGATTATAAAGAATTTCAGGATAAACTTGCCTTGTTTCATGCAGAACTAGTGTTTTGAAGCCAAACTTGTCTCAAGTGAGAAAAAAATGTTAGTTATAGTAAAACAGATGCCGAATTTAAAGAATTTAAACCCCGTCGCTAAACCGCCAAAAACCAGTTCAAATTTTGCGCCAACTCAAATCTCGGAACACTGAATACAATTTCAAGTGAAACCAACCTTGTTTGAGCCGCGTCTCAAATTTGAGTGCGGCTCAAATTCTTTAAATTTGGCCACAGCTCTTGCACATTTATTTTAAAATCTTAAAATTTTCTTATTACCAACCTCTTACAACAGAATTTAGTCTTTGAGACAAACTAATTTCAATATCTTTGCAACCTGATGGTGCTAAACTTTGATATTTCAAAAAATTTGATCTGACAAAATTTATAGTTTGAAATATCTACGATCTACGACATTAGGATGCAAAAATATAGGGATTAGAAAATCAGAGTTTGCGGAAAAGACATAATTCCTTTAGAAGTTTTGCAATGTCGACTTGTTTTTAATACCTTGCAACATTTGATATCAATAGACCTCTAAAGAGAGGTATTTGATTATACATAAACCAAGATATGTCAAGATACTGAAGAGAGGTATTAGATTATACATAAACCAAGATATGTCAAGATACTGAAGAGAGGTATTTGATTATACATAAACCAAGATATGTCAAGATACTGAAAAGAGGTATTAGATTATACATAAACCCAGATATGTACAAATACTGAAGAGAGGTATTAGATTATACATAAACCAAGATATGTCAAGATACTGAAGAGAGGTATTTGATTATACATAAATCAAGATATGTCAAGATACTGAAGAGAGGTATTTGATTATACATAAACCCAGATATGTCAAGATGCTGAAAAGAGGTATTAAATTATACATAAACCAAGATATGTCCAAATACTGAAGAGAGGTATTAGATTATACATAAACCAAGATATGTCAAGATACTGAAGAGAGGTATTTGATTATACATAAACCAAGATATGTTCAGATAACATAAACCAAGATATGTCAAGATACTGAAGAGAGGTATTTGATTATACGTAAACCAAGATATGTCAAGATACTTAAGAGTGAACACGTTTACACAATTGGGAACTGCAGAGTTTGGGGGCTGGCAAGGTGTACATACTATTTAGATATCAACTTGGAATTAAGGGCATCGACATAATTAGAATTCTAGTCCATAGATTTGTTAGGTTTGTCAGGGTAGGTTGACTCATTTTTTTGGATGACATATAAAGAAAATAGGAGAAAAAATAACAAGATGATTGGACCTAGAGTTTTACATTAACTCACAATATTGGAATTTCCGTAAATGAAATGTATGCGTGTATTAATACAATTTTAACATTTGAATAATATAGAAAGTACCAAAAAGTAAGTAAAAAAGACTATTTTTTGTGTAAAATTATGACTATTATTGCTTGGGAGGCTTCCTGTTATAATTCGTATAATAATTTAATTTTCTAATTAGAAGTTACAATCTCAAATTAAAAAATAGTAGTGTATTAGTGATATGTGTAATCAGATGTAAGTAATTAATCACTTTAAATAAAACAAAGTCATCATTGTCATCATGATATTATGTGTTGGTCTACAATTATCATCAACATTTGGAATATAAATTATAAACATGTTTATACATTATTATCAAAGTTTCAGGGAATAAAGCAGTTTGACCAAACAAATTAAATTTTATGTTTACAATTATTAGTTCGGAAATTGTTAAGCAATGCAAAAATGAGTGTTTGCTCCGAATATCTAGAAGGAAAAAAAACGTGATCAAGAAACATACGAGATCTGATCAATATTTGATCAAGAAACATACGATATCTGATCAATATTTGATCATGAAACATACGAGATCTGATCAATATGTTTCGCTAACATTTTTTATGGTACTTCTAGTTGTCTCTGCTCGTCAATTTTTCACTTTTTCTAATACCGGATACATTTGTGGTCAGGTTGACACCAACCAGAATATTGTTGTGATAGGTTGACACCAACCAGAATATTGTTGTGATATAAGGACTGTGGTCAGGTTGACACCAACCAGAATATTGTTGTGATATAAGGACTGTGGTCAGGTTGACACCAACCAGAATATTGTTGTGATATAAGGACTGTGGTCAGGTTGACACCAACCAGAATATTGTTGTGATATAAGGACTGTGGTCAGGTTGACACCAACCAGAATATTGTTGTGATGTAAGGACTGATCTCCCAAAGGTGGATTAGCTTCGTTGTCACAGCAAAGGAATATCTACAATATTAAATAGAAAAAATGGAGGCTCTGTACGCCAAAAAAGATAATTAAACCATGCAAAAAGCAAACAGAAATCTGAAACACGATTGAGAATGCATTTTTAAACGATTTTAGTTGTGATTTAATGTGGTTAAAAACGTAAAAATGAATATTTAAAAGATTATGACATATTTCGGCGGAAAAAGACCATAAAGACCCAGAAATGAATTTTTTTTTTAATTTCTAACATCAATTGCAAGGCTTCTATAAATATACTTGCCAGACAGTTTAATATGTGCTTTTATATTGTAAACAAACCTTCTGACATAGGACCAGGGAGATGAAATTGATCATGGATCTCAAATGTAAATCAAAACCAGTTAAATCATTAAAAGCCCGTCCTTTGCATTCAATACTTAATCTCCCTTTTCTATTGAATCCTCTTAGTGAAAACAATTTTGTATCAAACATTGGAAATTTTAGCGGATTAAATGTCCTTAGTTTAAACATTCAAAGCTTGTCATCAAAATTTGAGGAATTGAAAATATTTTGTGATAGAATAAAAAATTCAGGAGGTATTGTATCAGTTTTAGTTTTACAAGAAATATGGGATGTCTCTTTACCTAACTTGTTCTATATCAAAGATTTCGAACTATTTACAAATACACAAAAAACATCAAAAGCGGTAGGGGTTGCAATATATTGTAAAAAAAAACTTGAATCCAAAATTGATACCTGGCTTAGTTAGACAAAATACTTTCACTTTTAAGTCGATTGCAATAGAAATACAACTTATAAACGTCTCAGTTATAATTGGATCTGATTACTGATCTAACAAATATTTCAGTATCAATAATGCATCAAATCACTTTAAACCATTATTTCTTAGAGATTTGCAATAACAGCAATTGTAAATCCTATATTTTCTCAGACACTAACATAGATCTTCTTAAGCAAAACAATGATGTCAATGAGTATAATATGCATATATTATCTTCAAGCTTTTTCCCTTTAAACTTCTCGGCCTCACAATTTGTAAATATACAAAGTTTTGTACTTCTAGACCATATTATAACCAATGATAATCCAAAAGATGCATTTTCCTAAATATCCAATCGATTTCAGACCAAAATTCAATATTTCTGCCAATTATTCTTGATTTAAAACACAACGAAAATTCATTTCAAAATCTCAAAAGGAACATGAATGATGATAAACTACAGAGATAGCGGCAACAGAATTTAATTTAACATTTTTCATGAATTTTGAAAAACATTTTCCTTTACAAAAAATAAAAATACCCCTAAACCAATTCATGACAACTACTTTCATTGAGAGCGCAAAAACTATTATTATATACTTGTGAGCTGAACAAAAGGAAAAGTTACTCGAAGCGGGATGTACTTAGGCAGAGGATAGGTAATTCGAAGAATGACAAATCCAAAGGCAATTAGGTTAGGGAAACACTCTCTTCTACCAGACACACATAGATGAGAACTTCTTGAAAATGTTTATTCGGTAACGAAGTTTCCTACAAAATACAAATTGTTATTGGCGTACATGCATGTAAATAATAATTGTTAATAAATGGGTATTGTTGTGAATCGAACAATTGGTTTAGAAACATGTACCATTGAGAATTGAACAAAGATTTAAAAGGTATAGGAATTCTAGGTTTTGTAGGTTTAGGAAACTCTAGGTTTAGCAGGTTTAGCATTCATATTTTATTACTGTTGCGTATCGATAAATAAAGGGTTTAGAAAGGCACTGTTGTATACCAATAATAATTGTTAATAAAATGTAACTATTTGATTGACGAACAAATGTGAATAATAATTGTTAATAAATGTAACTATTTTATTACAACTAATTAAATGTTTATTGAAACTGATAAATAGGAATTTTAAAGGAAAGGTTCTGTTGTGAATCGACCAAGAAATATTTTAAGGTACCGATGGGAATTAATAAATGAAATATTTTAAATGGGTACTATTGTGAATCAAACATGGACTTACGATCTAGAAAACTGTGGTACGGCGAAAAGTTGTTTGTACTGAAGTCTAAAGCAATTTAATTCTTCTGAAATGAATATTTATTTGGTTAAAATAAGTTCACTGTTTATATGTAAATGATTCACTGAAAATTGTGTTTAAATAGGTTCTTTTTAATGCACTTTAAGTTTTACTAGATCCATGAGGTTATTTATGTAAAATCCTTGGCAAGGTTTGGTTTGGCGGATGGCCGGAGTACGGAGTATTCAACGGAGATACAATCTGTCGGAGACGACCTTTGAAACAGGGTTACATTAGGGATATGGTTCACAATACTATTTTTCAGCAAACTAAAAAGCCTGAATTCATGAAGATAAGATCAAGTTAAGTACATATTAATTAGACCTTAAGTCTAATTAAATGATATGTGGTGGTGTTTGAAATGTTTATTGATAAAAACTTGACTGAATATATGGAGCATTATTCATTATTATTAATTGCTGTAGGGGGATTTGGGGAGCTGCTCAACTGCTGGCGTTGATGAATATTTAGAACACTGAGCTGTAAGGAGCAGAACTGTTGAAGGCTGCTTCTGTAGGGAGCTGCTAGGAGCTGGTATAGATGAATCCTAGAACCCTGAGCTTCTCTGGTGCAGAACTGTTGAAGGCTGCTTCTGTAGGGAGCTGCTAGGAGCTGGTATAGATGAATTCTAGAACCCTGAGCTTCTCTGGTGCAGAACTGTTGAAAGCTGCTTCTGTAGGGAGCTGCTAAAAACTCATTAAAATGGAATCAGGGATTTGTATAGCTGATTTCAGAGTATCAATAAAATCCCCTTTTTGATAGTACAGAGTTGGTTTGGAACTCCGGAGCTGCTCAAGGGTTGGCTACAACTGATCATATAATCTTTTCAAGATTCCAAAGTTAGATTTTAAGGCGTCGTAGTCTTAACCTTGAGCCTATACTTAAAAATACACACAGTGCTTACAGGATGTTCACAAAAAATACAAACATATAAATACATTTTAACTATTCATAAAAGCACAAATATCAATTCTTAAAGAATCTGTTACATTCGTTTGTGATTTTTACAAAAAAAGGAGTTTTAGTTTATGTGAACACCCAACAGAGTTTCCATATACAGAAATAATTGATTCCAACCATGTTCTAACATTCTTTGTTAAAAATACGTACTTTGAACTCCATTACAATGCAGAAACATTTATAATAAAAAGATGAGATAAGCCAAGAAGGTCTATTTTAGTTAATTAATAGGTTGCCAAAAACCAAATCCTAAGAAGATGTGGGAAAGATTAAAAAACATTACAAAGATGGGAAACAAGCCTAACCAGAGTTCAATGAAAATTGATTTTATTAAGAAGAAAACTTAATAATCTCAGATCAAGTTTTAATTGCTAATAAGTTCAATAAATATTTTTCATCTATTGGCCAATGTAAAGCAGAAGCTATTCCTAAAATAGGAAAAGATTTTTCAGAATTTCTTCCACCTCCCTTCATGCATTCCTTTGCTTATTTTCCAACTGATCCAGTAGAAATAATGGAAGAATTAGAAATGTCCAGAACTATTCCTATTTATAAAAAAGATAAAAAAGACGACTTATCTAATTTTTGTCCAATTGGATTAATCAATGAATTTTCTAAAAATATTTGAAAAATTCATTTCTCAACAATAATAACTTTTTAAAAACAATTCGATTTGGTTTTTTGCCAGGACATAATGTTATGCAAGCAATTACTAAGCTTTTAAACTATATTTTCTGCGCACTAAATAATAATAAATCTGTTTTACTTGTCATGTTAGATATTTCTAAAGCTTACAACTGTATTGATTACAAGATACTTCTAAAAAAGCTTGAAAACGCAGGAATCAGGGGCAACACATTACAATCTTAGTTACGCGGCAGGGGGCAAAAAATCGATATAAATGGTACCATCTCGAAATATTAGAGATGGGTTTTGTTCAAAGATCAAGTCTAAGCTGTTTGCTGTTTATTATCTATGTAAATGACTTTTCCCAATCTAACAAACTTTTCAGTGTAGCCTTTGCCTACGACACAAATGTGGGATCAAAATTTAAAAACTTGAATACTCTAGCAGACACAATAAAGAATTAGAAAAAGTAACATGTCTAATAAACTTACTATTAACTTTGAGAAAACTGATGCCATTTTATTTTCAAATTCTCTAAATGGAAAAACTTCTGTCCTAATATTTTCTTTAAACTAGGAGAAACTACACGAAAAATTGGACGCATAAAAGAAACTGATTCAGTTAGATTCTTGGGAATATTGCTGGTTACTAAATTGAACTTCAATGACTATTTTAATGAAATATACAAGCGGCTAACTTTTCACCTTATGCTATGAAAAAAAAATAAAAAACTTCTGAAGCTTTAACACTATGAAACTTCTTTATTACTCCTTTTTTCACTCTCATTTAAAATTTAGTTCAACATTTTTAATGCTAAATTCAGACAAAAATATTAAGATAGAATCATTGCAAAAGAAAGCTATTTGTCTATTGTTGGGGTTACCTAGAATAAGTCACACAGCGGGAGCTTTTTGGGATTTGAACATACTCCCTTTCAGAAAATTAGGAATTTTTAATGTAATAAAATTTTTATTTCAATTTAAAGAAAACATTTAAAAAAAATTTCAAATCATCAAAAATATCAAAAACGCAAATCTTAGAAACAGAAATGATTTTCATATTCCTAGAGTAAAATCTATTAAAATTGGACTGCTTCATCCTCACAATTTCCCTAAAATATGGAATGAAAATAATAAAAAACACTTTTTAAAGCTTTCAAATATAAATATTTTTCGAATTTTAAATAGAATTTAATTGAAGATTTTCATAAGCAGAACAAATGTATAAATTCTAACACATGCTATGTTTGCAAAAGAATCGAAGAAAGCAAAGACGATTTTACAAAGAACAGACTGAAAAAATTAAAAAGAGTAAAAGATATAATCAAACATAACGGATGTAAAAAATTGGCACGAATTAAAAAGATGCTTAAAAATGTTAGTTCATCGTGGAAAAATACTAACAATCCACCATTCATTTAAATATAGTTTAAACATTAAATATGTAACTTTCCTTTTCCTTTCCTTTTCCTTTTATTTATATTTTTTATATTTTTTTAGAATGGGGGGAAATACTCCCACGACCTCTATTTTTGGAGGTTTTCAAATATTTTTAATGTTTTTTATTTTTCATAAATAAATGATTACTTACTTTAAAAAAACCTCCATGAATTCTAAGTAAACTGTAAAGGATGGATAACTCTAGTTTCATGTTCCATCTATTGTTCTATATGTGCAGTATGTATTCTTCTCTTGCGTATATAATTACATATAAATACATATATATATATATATGTATATGTTTGCATATTTATATACATATACAAAAATATACAGTGCGGCTTATAAAACTGTGGAATGAGAAGACGACATTTTTGCAGTCTTTTATGTAATTGATTTAAAGCAATTAGTTTTAACAGTAGCTTGTACAATGTACAGTGTACAAATACACTATTTCATGTTCTTTGCACAGTTCAGCAGCAACCTTGAATCTAACGGTCGTCTTCCCATTCTACAGTTATATGGGTCTGCACTGCATAGTTCATTGTTATTAATATGTATCTATATTTTGCAGATATAAATGTAAATAATGTGATGAAACTAAATTAAAGAATTCCACAAAATGAGGTCAATACGACCAACGGAGCTATTTTTCGTCGTAGGTAAGTAAAACATATTTTTTGAGACTCCAACATTTTATCAGTCATTTTTTTCACTAAAACCTTGTTTTTTTGTTAGGAAAGAATAATAGAGTTGATTGTTTAACAGTTTAGAATTCATTCATTTTTCTTGAAAAGTAGTACAAAGTTATTTAGAACTTATTAATAAATCTTTACTCGACAACCCCCATACCCGCCCAACAAAACAAAAAATAATAATCAAACAGTTCAGAAAAACAAAATTTTTATCTTGCTCCTAACAAATGTTTTCAAATTTTAACGAAACTATGTCAGTCCTTTGACAAAATAAAATTGCGTCAAACCTTTTTATTAAAGAAAAAAATCTTTAGAATCTTTAAAATCAAATTTAATTTAGAATTCTTTTCTTCGAATTTTGATTGTTGATTTTTTAGTTTTATCTTGGCTTAATTAAGTTTAAAAATGTTCTTACTTTTAACTAGATTATATCTAAAGGTTTACGGTTAATTTTATCTTCGAGTTATTGTGAGTTTTGTAATGATTCATGTCTTTTTTAGATAACTGGGATTTTAGGGCGCTTCGCGTCCATCTTCTATTTCAACTTTTAATTGTGGCTTTATCACTGAGCATCTTTGCGGATTTCATAACATTCTTTCGCCCATTTTCAAAATTTTACAAAAATAAAAAACTTTTAAACACAAATTTTTAAAATTTTGATCATTCATAAACCTTCTCTGGGGTCCCACACAAAATTTGGGCCCGATTGGTTCAGCCGTTTTGACGTTTAATGGATACAAACAAAAAATCAGACAGACAGACAAGCTAAATTTATATATAGATTTCTTATTACATATTCAAACATGCGTAATCCCACATGAATTATTATGCTTGTAATGTTAACTGGATATATATTTTTATTAATATTTAACACCTTGTAGGTCTATCTTAAAAGGAAACTTAATGGTTACTGAAAACAAATCTCCTTACCATAGGATATCAAATTGTTAAAAATATTAAAAATTTAAATTTCATAAAATTTTATGTAATTTTGTGAAATTTTATGTATTTTATTTATGCATTTTATATAACTTTATGTAAGTTTTCATTGGATGTTATCAAAACTTTTTATTACAAGATAATACCAACCGATATTTTAATAAAATGTAATCATGTTTTTATCCTGTCCTTCGTTTTGGTATTAGTGAACACTTCCTTTAGCGTCATCACCAGGGCACTTAACCTCGCCCTTTTACCTAAAGTTATATTTTTATATTTTTTCTTTTAAAAATTAAGAATTATTATTATTATTATTTTCATCCCTTTTCATCAACATTACCGACCTATGATTCCCCCAACAAAGGGACAATTAGGTGAAAAATTCGCGCATTTTCATCTCAAAAGATAATAAAGTTGTGTACAAATACTTTTTGGGAAGTTAAAAATTTACTGAACCACTGGTTCCCTCGACCAAGTTTGCCTACAAAACATCCAGAGCACAGCAAAATTGGTCGAGGGAACCACTTTTAAACTTAAATTCCCTGTATATTAGTTGTAAATAATTATCATTATTATTATCTTTATTATTATTATTATTATCATTATTATTATTATTATTATTATTATCATTATTTTCATTATTATTATTATTATGTATATTATTATTATTATTATTATTATCATCATTATTTTCATTTTAATTATTATTGTTTCAGGATTTATTTGTGAAACTGGTTTAGTCTGGACCCAGGTATACAGGGTGTCAAAACAAGGGTGATTGGGGTTTTTAGCTCAAAGTACATAAATTTCTTTCCTGATGGAAGTATCTTTTCCAACAATTATTATTCGAACCCTTGTTTCTGTCAAAATGAGAGTCTAAATTACAGGTTGTTCTCCTAATGATGAAAACAAAAGCTAAAATGATCAGTGAATTATTTTTGTTCAAAAGTTTTATCACTACTACACAAAATTAGCAGATTTTTTTGGTTTAAGGGGCTAAAAGCATATTTTCAAGTGATCCTACATGCAAAGATGGCAATGCCCAATTTACAACGGTATCCTTGAAACTTTTATCTGATCAATAATGTGGAAGAAACAAGGTTTAAAAGTACTTGTTAATTCTGATCATTTCTTCATGTTTTCCTGCAGCATAAATGCGCAAGTCATTTTTGTAAAAAAAAACACCATTGATTATAATTGGTCTTCAAAGTTTATATATAATTTCAGACAAAGCTTTTTTGTGAATGTATATTTATATAGTTTATAGACAAATTTGGTAATTCAGTACATCAAGATGAGAACAAGACCTTATCGCTCTTTTTAGAGATACCTGTTGTAGTTGAATCCAAAGAATTGATTTTTTTGATTAAATTTATATTTCTGAATTAACAAAGCATCTGTAGGAGTGTGGCAGGATTCAGTCAACGGAAAAGAATAAGATTGTCGGAGGAACAGATACAGCTGAAGGAGAGTTCCCATGGATGGTAAGAGAAACATTTAGAGGATGGGTCAATATTTTTATTTTTTTGGGATATATGCCCCTTAAGATTCTAAGAAAAGAAAATGATGAAAAATTTATTGAAATGGCAAGCGGAGAACATTTTAAATAAAAAATAAAAATGAAAGTAACTTGTTAAACTGAAAACGATCATAACCCAGAAAACCATGAACTAATCTGCCTTATATTATAATTGGGGATTTCTGAAGAACCATGGGAATGTTCTTTGCTTTGTTTATAAGGTCTAAGTTAAATATTAAATAAGTTGAATCTTATTAAAAAAACTTTGCTTCCAAGCAAAGCTGAGTTCCAAACTATTGTTACATAAAATAGTGAATAGTTTAAAATCTTCTTTTTAATTTGAATCTATGCTCCCTACTGTTTAAGACAATGCTTGAAGTACATAATACATTTTTATGCGGAGGAACCATATTAGACAGGTAGATAATAAACTCATATACACAATTATAAACATTTCAGAGCGCTTCGCGCACATATTCTATTTCAATTGTGTCTCTATCTGTAAGCATCTTCTCTTTGTATATTATAAAGCAATAACAAAAAAGTTCGCGGATTTAATAATATTATTTTGTGGATTTTTAAAACTTTTACAAAAATCGTAAAAATTTGTAAATTTACATAAACATTCACTGGGGTCATGTCAGTTGCCTCAAAAATATTGGGCCCGATCGTTTCGGCTGTTTTGACGTTTATAAGATACAAACGGACAAACAAACCAGAACATAGCAATTATTTTGGGGATGATTGTGGGGCCGGATCAAAATATCAGGCGTGTACCGGCGTAACGCAGACGGCTAAATAGGGACAGTTCAGGTCCAAATATTGTAAGTTTGTGGTTTGGTATAGTCGGACCGGTTCTCATTTTAAATGAAAAGTGACGTGATGTAGTGTTTGTGAGCAGAATATGTAAAACCTTCCAACAAAAACTTCTTGTATTTTTAATCCGACTCCAATTTTCTAATACCAAATCGTTGCAACCAAGAGTCGTAGATCTAGGAATCCTGAAATATCAAAGGTTGACAACATTATGGTGCGAAGAAGATTTGAGTTTTTGGCAAAGACAATCCAAACATGCTTTCTTTCTATAGGACACATATTCTAACAGCTGCTCATTGTTTAATATTGAAAGATGGAGGTGAGTAGATACACTTTAAAAATTTGTTCTAAATTATTACTGAGAGGGAATGCCGCTGCAATTTCAAGATATCTTCCATGTGATAAATATTTTCTGGAAATCACAGATTTTCTGTCGTTTTTTCCTCTGTCAGACAAAGAATGTTCGGGATTTATGAGAAATTTGTGTGGAAGAAAGACTTCCACAGTGGACGGTTGGAAGGGAGGAAGGCCAACCACAACAATTTCTCGTCCGAGCCACATTCTCCTCATTTTCTCGTCACCTCGAAATCCTCGTCCTTTCAATATTATTTTTTAAAGTGTCTAATCCTTCCAGATAAAACTATTATTTAAGAATCAAGCCACGTTAGGGCATAAATGAAATATAAAATTTTTGTAAATCGAAAAAGAAAGTTTCAATTAAATTAAAGATTTCAAGTTTAATGTCTTTAAAAATGTTCACCTTTTTTACGCGCATTTTCAGATATTCCTGTAGAATGCCACAAATAATTCCAAGTTTATAGAACTTCAATCTTTTTTTTTAACTATAGTGAAAACCATAAACTTTTCCGGGTGGTTCAATGGGGAAAATTATAGGCAGAGGTATGCCGAATATTTTGCTATTTATATTATATCACGAAGGTTAGCCATCACGGAGACAGAAGAGATTTAAGTTTTACCTAAATAAAGTTTGACATCATTCTGATGGGTTTGAAGATTCCAACATGATATAATCATTGCAATGCTTTAGTCAATCCATATTTTACGACCTAACGTCGCCAGAATTTTAAAAAATAGTTTTATCTTCAAGAATTGGAAACTTTTTAGCACAAAATAATCGAAGGACGAGGATTCCGAGGTGGCTCGAACGAGAAAATGAGGATAAAGTGGCTCGGACGAGAAATTGTTGTGGCTGGCCTTCCTCCCCTCACTGATGTTAGAGGCTTAAGTTGTGAATTTAACATTAAGCTTCTTAAATGGAGCTAGGGTCATTTGAAATTGCATCAAAATTCCCTTTTAAGGGATTGTTAATTAATTTTAAAGATGGTATAAGCACAATTATAAATTACTAGCCTTAGAGGGCGCTTCGCGCCCATCTTCTAAATTAATTGTGAACATGTTCTCTTCGGAGACATCGAAAAACAAAACAAAAATAATTCGCGGATTTTCACAAAAAATTTCGTGGATTTTCAAAATGTTAAAAAATTAATGAAGATCGAATTTTGATGGAGACAAATATTTGAAATTTTGATCATTCATAAACCTTCCCTGGGGTCCCTAGATGTCCCATAAAAAATTTGGGCCCGATCGGTTCAGCCGTTTTGACGTTTATTGGATACAAACAGAAAGACAGACAAACAGACAAACAGACAAGCCAAATTTATATATAGATGAATTGATTCTAAAATTTATATTACGAAAGGAGTTGAGTCTTTGACACAAACTCGGATTGTCTAATACCTATATCTCTGCAACCAAATGTCGTAGACCTTAGATATTTCAAACTATGAATTATGTTGCATCAAATTATCTTAGTTTGAAATATAAAAAGTCTACAACATCAGGTTCCATAGATATAAGGATCAGAAAGTTTGAGTTTGTGGCAAATACTCAATTCCTTTCCATTCCAACTTAATAGAATTTGATTTCATAAAAAGTATTTTATTGAATTTAAAAAAGTATTTAGAAATTATCCCTGCCCAATATCTATCAGTTCATACTGGAAGACATTTTCTTTTAAACGGAGGAATTCAAACTATTGTCAAAAAAATAAATGTTCACAATGCATATGATGTAAGTGTAAATATTATTCTTACAAATTCTAAAAAAGGAAATGAATTTTTGCCACAAATTCTAATTTTGTAATCCTTATATCTTTGCAACTCAATATCGGAGACCTTATATATTTTAATTAGATCAAATAGTAAAAGTTTGAAATATATTACAATATTAAACAAATTATAAATATTTACACAATTAGGTAGCAAACATAGAGATTAGAAAATTTTTGTGTTTGTGTCAAAAACTCAGTTCCTTTCATTTAATTTCATTCCTCTTTGCTACTATCCTGTATTGGTCATACCCTAGATACATGGAACATAAAATAAAAAAATTGGCGTTAATGGCTAATTGCGGTAATGTACAATGTTTGATCTCAATACACAAGTTCACCTCAGCAAACAAATCCCCTTCGTACAATTTAAAAATATTTTTCTCTTTACAATGGCAGATTTCTAAAAACATTTATTATACGTTCATTAGATACAAACAGAACAAACAAACAAACAAACAATAATAGAGAAGTTGATTTTTAATTATCGAGAAATATTTCCAAACAATTATGAATTGCTTCTACCAGGTTCCAAAACCTAACTTTATGCTAGATGCAAACCAATGTGAATGACATTGCAATCCTGGAGCTTACAGTCCCTTTAAATTTCACTGATACAACGGCACCAATCTGTCTACCCAAACCATCCTTAGAACTAGAATATAATACCTTGGTTAGTTTATTTACATTCTAAAACTTGTTCTGTGAGATTTTTTTATCCAGGTAGTTGAAATTGTTTGTAATTTTTGTATCCAAGTAGTTGGAATTGTTTGTAATTATTGTATCCATATAGTTAGTAAAAATTGTATCCAGTTAGTATCCAGGTTGTTGGAATTGTTTGTAATTATTGTATCCAGAGATGAGATTTTAAAATCTTAAACCCGAGTAAAACACAAACTTGGGCTTAGATAGAACCCAAGTCAGGATTGATTCTGATTCGACCAATGAGAGACCAACCATCTTGGGTTTTTCTTTCTTTAAGGCTCGAGTCTTCAGCAGCTGATGATCGTGAATTTCGTAAAATCTTTATTATATGTACATTTAAAATCTCGGGAATCATTTTTGGTGTCAAAATTTATTAAATATATAAAAATAAACATACTATGAAAATTATGTCTCTACATAAAGTTTTTATTTCCGAAATTTACATCTCCTTGGTCAAATCAGAACCAATTCTGACTTGGGTTCTATCTAAGCCCGAGTTTGAGTTTTACTCGGGTTTAATTTTTTAAAATCTCATCTCTGGTTGTTAGAATTGTTTGTAATTATTGTATCCATGAAGTTGGAATTGTTTGTAATTAATGTATCCATGAAGTTGTAATTGTTTGATGAATATTGTATCCAGATAGATGGAATTGTTTGAAGAATATTGTATCCAGGCAGTTGGAATTGTTTGATGAATATTGTATCCAGATAGATGGAATTGTTTGATGAATATTGTATCCAGGTAGATGGAATTGTTTGATGAATATTGTATCCAGATAGATGGAGTTGTTTGATGAATATTGCAACCAGATAGATGGAGTTGTTTGATGAATATTACATCCAGATAGATGGAGTTGTTTGATGAATATTATATCCAGATAGATGGAATTGTTGGATGGATATCGTATCCAGGTAATTGAAATTGTTCGATGAATATTGTATCAAGGTAGTTGGAATTTTTTGATGAATATTGTATCCAGGTAGTTGGAATTGTTGGATGAATATATTGTATCCAGGTAGTTGGAATTGTTTGATGAATATTGTATCCAGATAGATGGAGTTGTTTGATGAATATTGTATCCAGATAGATGGAATTGTTTGATGGATATTGTTTCCAGATAGATGGAATTGTTTGGTGAATATTGTATCCAGATTGATGGAATTGTTTGATGAATATTGTATCCAGGTAGTTGGAATTGTTTGATGAATATTGTATCCAGATTGATGGAATTGTTTGGTGAATATTGTATCCAGGTAGTTGGAATTGTTTGATGAATATTGTATCCAGATTGATGGAATTGTTTGGTGAATATTGTATTTAGATAGATGGAGTTGTTTGATGAATCCAGGTAGTTGGAATTGTTTGATGAATATTGTATCCAGATTGATGGAATTGTTTGGTGATTATTGTATTTAGATAGATGGAGTTGCTTGATGAATATTGTATCCAGATAGATGGAATTGTTTGATGGATATTGTTTTCAGATAGATGGAATTGTTTGGTGAATATTGTATCCAGATTGATAGAATTGTTTGATGGATATTTAATTCAGATAGATGGAATTGTTTGTAATTATTGTATTCAGGTAGTTGGAATTGTTTGATGAATATTGTATCCAGATAGATGGAATTGTTTGATGAATATTGTATCCAGATTGATGGAATTGTTTGATGAATATTGTATCCAGATAGATGGAGTTGTTTGATGAATATTGTATCCAGATAGATGGAGTTGTTTGATGGATATTGTATCCAGGTAGTTGCGGCTGGTTGGGGCCGGCTTCAAGATAATGGGAATATTAGTACTTCTTTGCAAAAAGTGAATTTAAATATATTTTCTCAAAAAGCATGCATCAATATGTATGAGGGATATAAGGTAAATTTTAACTTAAATCTGGTTTGATTTTTATATTTTGAATAACAAAGTTTTGAAGCTTTTCATTTAATGTGACTGTAGTTGTAGTTTCAGAAGAACCTGATTTACATAGTCAATTCAGAACTATAACTCATTTTTGCTCATACGAGTGTTGAAATGGTACCGTTGTAAATCCGACATGCCAATCTTTGACTAATGACTTTCAATTATGCCTACAGCCCCTTTAAGTTGTCTCTCAACTGTCATGTTTGTTTAGTGGACGACTCACAAGCTTGATCTAGAAACTTATCTGTGAAATGTTTCTTCTAGGCCGTGTTGGGTATCCAGAACCCTGTTCTAGAAACTAATCTGTGAAATGTTTCTTCTAAGACGTGTTGGGTATCCAGAACCCTGATCTAGAAACTAATCTGTGAAATGTTTCTTCTAGGACGTGTTGGGTATCCATAACTCTGTTCTAGAAACTAATCTGTGAAATGTTTCTTCTAAGACGTGTTGGGTATCCAGAACCCTGATCTAGAAACTAATCTGTGAAATGTTTCTTCTAGGACGTGTTGGGTATCCATAACTCTGTTCTAGAAACTTATCTGTGAAATGTTTCTTCGGGGCCGTATTGGGTATCCAGAACCCTGTTCTAGAAACTTATCTGTGAAATGTTTCTTCTAGGCCGTGTTGGGTATCCAGAACCCTGTTCTAAAAACTAATCTGTGCACCTTAAACACTGATGGACGGGATGCCTGCCAAGGTAAAGGGTTACCTACAAAGGATTAGACTAAACAGACGACTTTACGTTTTTTCAATATTTTTCTTTTAATCTTGGTTTTCTGCATGTTCATGTCATTGCTAGGTGTCAAATTACAGTCTAAAGATTGTCATATTAAAATAGTTCTTGGTCGTCACTAGTATTATCCTTTGTGAGTAACTCAGTAGAGTACCCAGTAGATTAACCTGCAGTAGAGTAACCCAGTAGAGTAACCCAGTAGAGTAACCTGCAGTAGAGTAACCCAGTAGAGTAACCCAGCAGAGTAACCCAGTAAATTAACCTGCAGTAGAGTAACCCAGTAGATTAACCTGCAGTAGAGTAACCCAGTAGAGTAACCCAGTAGAGTAACCCAGCGGAGTAACCCAGTAGATTAACCTGCAGTAGAGTAACCTGCAGTAGAGTAACTTGCAGTAGAGTAACCTGCAGTAGAGTAACTAGATCTGCAAAAGACTCCACGTTAACCGTTTAATAGTTAATGTTAAACCCAAGGGGGACGGTTATATCAAGTTCTCTTTTCGAACCTATAATGTAGAATTTAAAGTTGAACAGAAATATTTATAATTCAACTATGGTCAAATATACTCTCTTTAAATGCGTGTAAATCCACGAAATTAAGCCCTTTAAGCAATATTATGAATAGAATCGTCTCATAATGACTCTGCTTCTCTTTAACATTTTTTTCGTAATGTTGAAATTAAAAAAATTCCTGCTTGGTATTTTCCCAAGGGCAATTTCCCAAGGACGATTTCTCAAGTGACAATTTCCCAAGCGGCACTTCCCAAATGTTAGGGTTAGGTCGTCTGGGGCATCGCAGGCTGCCATGGGGGCTAAACGTAGCGGCTAGGATGGGCTATGGGGCCAAGCGCTGCCGCTAGAACAGGATTGCAACCGATTGCTGTGGCTAGGGAATACTTCGGAATCGGATTCGGAAGTAGCCACTTGGGAAAAATCCTTTGGGAAAGTACCTTACATCGAAACATAATGATTTTCTCTTATGATAATGTATATTGTATGAAGTGTATAGGGTTGAAGTTTCAAACTTTAGATCTTAACTCACAGTTTCAAATATAAAAACTCAGGTTTCAAAGATATAAAGGATTCAAACATTAGAACTCATATTGTGTAGGAGACTCTGGGGGTCCTCTTCTGTTGGAGCAAAATGGAAAATATGTTCAGGTTTGTCAATTGTATATGTACAGTGTACACTTATGTACAGTATCTATATATATATATTCAGGTTTGTCAATTGTATGTACAGTATCTATATATATTCAGGTTTGTCAAGTATATGTACAGTATCTATATATATATATTCGAGTTTGTCAATTGTATATGTACAGTGTACACTTATGTACAGTATCTATATATAAATATTCAGGTTTGTCAAGTATATGTACAGTATCTATATATATATATATTTAGGTTTGTCAAGTATATGTACAGTATATATATATATATATTCAGGTTTGTCAATTGTATATGTACAGTATCTATATATATATATATATTCAGGTTTGTCAATTGTATATGTACAGTATCTATATATATATATATATTCAGGTTTGTCAATTGTATATGTACAGTATCTATATATATATATTCAGGTTTGTCAATTGTATATGTACAGTATCTATATATTTTTATATATATTCAGGTTTGTCAATTGTATATGTACAGTATCTATATATATATATATATATATATACAGGTTTGTCAAGTAAATGTACAATGTGCATTTTACTTATATAAAAACCAAGCTTGCAGGGGGGCTTGGCGCCCATTTTCTAACAAAAATTTTAGTTCTTAACTCTTGCTTTTCAAGCTTATATTTTTAAAACAATTAGAGTATCCATACCCAACCAGTACAAGGGGCTAAGGGTAAGACGATAAAGACGATCTGATTTTAAAATTTGACGGTTCCGAGGTTAAATTAAATCTTCTGTCTTGAGTATGGCTTATTCAATGATTAGACAAAAAAGGAACAAGCTTACAGTTGCAGGGAATCAAAAATATAATATATACAATATATATAACATAATTCTGTACAACAGTCTCTTAAATCATTCTTGACAATACGATCCATAAACATTCATATAAATCGTACTAAGTAAAAAAAAAACAAGAATCTACCTTTCCATCTTGAGCTCCAGGCCTTGTACCCTTGCAAGGATGGTAGACTTGATAATACGATCCCACATACTAGTCTGCAAAAGTCCACAAGTCAAGTCAAAACTAGACAAAATATACTAGACAAAACGCGCCAAAACTAGTTGAAAAAGTACGCAGCATTTAAACCCAAAACTGATTGTCTTCAACATAATCACAAAATTATACCTAAGCTGGGAAATATAAAGATGAAACTGATCACACTAGATTCTCAAACCAATCATACATATTCTGAAAATTAACCCGTGTCAAATATCAAGCAATCATACCATATTAGCCCGGTGTAACTCTCTCCATTCAACCAATTGGAGACGTCCACACAACTGGGCCCTGAACCTTCACATATAGCGAATGAATTATTGGTCCCTGGACTAAAACAAGGGGATATATATTATCACTCAACACTATATAATGTATGTATGTTAGCTTTTTAACCCTAAATCCTCATTTTTCATCATCTTCCAATAAAAACAATTTTTTTCAGTTTTTTCTCTTTAGGCTTGGTGATTTTAAATGTAGAAATGTTAAAAATTTTATCCAGGACAAACTTTTAAATTTTAACCGTCCATAAACCTTCCCAGAGGTTGTGTGAATTTCCACAAAAAAATAGGCCCGATTGGTTTAGCTATTATATTTAAAGTATTATTCTCAGTTAGGATGTTTGTATGTCCGATCCAAACTCAGGAATCGATGTGATGTTTAATGTTTCAGGTTGGAGTGACCTCCTGGGGAGTAGGATGTGCTAACCCTAAATATCCTGGAATCTGGACAAATGTTCCAAAATATGTTCCTTGGATTGAGCAAATCACCCGATTCAACCAAAATGACAGGTTAAAGGAAAGTGATGATATAAGAAGTGTGGCTAAACGCCTTAACGCCCCATCCTGATCAAAAGTGACGTTTAGCATTTCAGTTTTACAGTACATAGCTTTTACTACAGAGCGTCCCATATTATATTAGATTATCTCCAATCTTTAACGCCAAAGTACGCACATTATACTCGAAAATTCTAGCATTTACTGCAAAAAAAATTCTATTCGCCTTATTAAATTTTTCAAAATGATTGATTCTTCTTAAATTTTCTGATTTGTCCCCCAAATCGTAATTTAGACCCATTGACGCGGTCTAATTTGATGTGGGACACCCTGTATGTTAAGTACTGTTTTAAGGCAAAAACGGATTTTAATATATTGTTTGTATCAAACTTTTGAAAGCAAACAAATTTTCCTCGTCAAAGTGTTCTCACTCTGCAGAAAGGTGTTTGTGTATCCGTATCAAAGAAATGGATATTTCTAATTGATTCTAAACTCTAATTAGATTCTTAACAGATTTTTGAGTTGAAATTTTTATAAATTTTTTTTACAAATTCTATCAAAATTTTACAATTTTTGATCAAATCAATAATTTCGAAAAATCGAACAGAACGATAACATTTTTCAACAATGTAGTTTTAAAATGTATTTTTACAGTTCATATTATTTTTAAATAGCTCTATAATTCATGTTAATGTCAAACATTTTGAATATATCATCGTTATCACATATTTTAAGAAGATTGTCTCCTCCCCCCAGCGTATTCTTTCCACCTCAAAAAAAATCTCCATATATATTCCAGGTATGTTATCAGAAGAAACTCTAACATTATATTCGAATTATCGAACTTACCGAACAAAAATTTCGAAATTGCAAACACTTCGTTCGAAGTTATTGGATTTCTCGTATTGTTAGTAGTATATAAATATCCCTAACAGTCTGTTAATCATTTCATGCTAAATGTTTATAAATGTAAAATGCCTTTACTAAAAACTGTTTTTACAAGGTGTCTCTATTAAAATGGAAATTCAATGACGACTTTTATATCGTCTTCGATCCATGCGGCATTTTTTCGTTAACACAACTATTGAAGTGATCCGGCTTAAACATCTAATATTGAAAACGCCTGGTCTTAATATTTTCAAAATGTGGACTACCATTTTTGTATCTTCAAAATTGACGGAGATATTGCGGAAACGAACTAAGTTTTTGCAAACAAACTGAAATTTGCTAACCCCCATATCTATGCAACCTGATGGTAAACCTTTAATATTTCAAACTTAGGCTTTTTGATCTATCAGAATTCAGAGTTTGAAATATTAATTATCTACGAAATCGGGTTGCTAAGATATAGCGATTATACTGTACAAACAGAATGTGTGGCAAAAACTCAGTTCCTTTGTACAAATTTCAATTTTCTTTATAAATCAAAAGTGTCTAATATCTAATATCTTCGTTAATTTTTAAGTTACCAGAAAGGCAGACCACTTTATGGAAAGCTCGTCAGACAAACAGTCTCGTTTTTTACTTTCTTTGTCATGCATTAAACATCGTTTTATTATATTATTCTACTATGATGTGAGCCTAGTAGGTACAATGTCAATATATGGGGGGGTCGTCATTAAGACATTTTACTCTTAAATGCCGTTCTAGCCTTCAAATTGTACTCGGAATGTATTCGGTCCCTTTTCCTAAAACTCGAACACTTTTATCGTTTTTTAGGTTTATAAATCCTCAATTCTCTCATTGAAAATGTGCAATTTATCATATTCTGTTGTATAAAAAGTAAAAATAAAATCATAATTTAAATTTTTTTTTAAATCTTTGAAAAGGAGACAGAGCACATTTACGAAGGTTAAAACGGCATTTTAAAGAAAAAAAATGTTGTGTTCTGGAAACATATCCCCTCCTCGCCCCATAATTAGATTGTTCTTTTTGTTTTTTAGAATTGTGAAATTGCTACTTTTCGACAGCAACGAATAATTGGAGGATTAAAAGCTAATCCTGAAGAATTCCCATGGATGGTAAGTAACAGGATTCCTAGCAGGGGCTGTGAGGGATGCCCCTTCGCCCAAATAAATTCTGCATACGCCCTCGCGCTGTCTTCTACTGCATACTGATGATCATCGTTTTGAGGCCGGTTTTTTAAACATTTAAAGTTTCGAGGCCCGTTTTTAAGCATTTAAAGTTTCGAGGCCCGTTTTCAAACATTTAAAGTTATGCGGCCGGTTTTTAAACATTTAAAGTTTTGAAGCCTGTTTTTAAACATCTAAAGTTTTGAGGCCGGTTTTTAAACATTTAAAGTTTTGAAGCCTGTTTTCAAACATTTAAAGTTATGCGGCCGGTTTTTAAACATTTAAAGTTTTGAAGCCTGTTTTTAAACATCTAAAGTTTTGAGGCCGGTTTTTAAACATTTAAAGTTTTGAAGCCTGTTTTTAAACATCTAAAGTTTTGAGGCCCGTTTTTAAACATTTAAAGATTCGAGACCCGTTTTTAAACATTTAAAATTTCGAGGCCCGTTTTCAAAAATTTAACGTTATGAGGCCGGTTTTTAAACATTTAAAGTTTCGAGGTCCGTTTTTAAACATTTAAAGTTTCGAGGCCCGTTTTTAAACACTTAAAGTTTTGAGGCCCGTTTTTAAACATTTAAAGTTTCGAGGCCCGTTTTTAAACATTTAAAGTTTCGAGGCCCGTTTTCAAACATTTAAAGTTATGAGGCCGGTTTTTAAACATTTAAAGTTTCGAGGTCCGATTTTAAACATTTAAAGTTATGAGGCCCGTTATTAAACATTTAAAGTTTCGAGGCCCGTTTTTAAACATTTAAAGTTTTGAGGCCCGTTTTAAAACATTTAAAGTTTCGAGGCCCGTTTTTAAGCATTTAAAGTTTTGAGGCCCGTTTTTAAACATTTAAAGTTTCGAGGCCCGTTTTTAAACATTTAAAGTTTTGAGGCCCGTTTTTAAACATTTAAAGTTTCGAGGCCCGTTTTTAAACATTTAAAATTATGAGGCCCGTTTTAAAACATTTAAAGTTTCGAGGCCCTTTTTAAACATTTAAAGTTTTGAGGCCCGTTTTTAAACATTTAAAGTTTCGAGGCCCGTTTTTATGCATTTAAAGTTTTGAGGCCCGTTTTTTAACATTTAAAGTTTCGAGGCCCGTTTTTAAACATTTAAAGTTTTGAGGCCCGTTTTTAAACATTTAAAGTTTCGAGGCCCGTTTTTAAGAATTTAAAGTTTTGAGGCCCGTTTTTAAACATTTAAAGTTTCGAGGCCCGTTTTTAAGCATTTAAAGTTTTGAGGCCCGTTTTTAAACATTTAAAGTTTCGAGGCCCGTTTTTAAGCATTTAATGTTTTGAGGCCCGTTTTGAAACATTTAAAGTTTCAAGGCCTGTTTTTAAACATTTAAAGTTTCGAGGCCCGTTTTTAAACATTTAAAGTTTTGAGGCCCATTTTTAAAAGTTCAACATTTTCAGACTATTTAGAGGCTTCACAAAATCTGAATTGTGAATCCTGTACTGAAATTGCTTTTATTACATTTTGCAAAACTTTTATTCTGACCAAAGATATTAACTATGACGATTTTTCAAAACGATGAGATGATTTATGGCAATATCTTTAATCAGAGAACAAATTCGCATAATGTAATTAAAGCAAAGCATATTGAGAATACAATTTTGAAAATTAGTTGATAACTCACATTTTTGTGAAACAATTTTAAAGTAAAAAAGTGTCTCAAAACGGTCCATAAAACGATAAACTACTACTGCACATACACGTATCATGTTTTTAAAACTGAAAGCAATTCTTTTTGATGATAATTATTGAAATTTGAAATTTTACTTTTAAGAGCATAAAAAGACATATTATCAGTAGAAAGTAAAATTCGTTAACCAACTTAAATTCCTTGATTTTTTCTGTCAAATATTTAGAATTTTTTAAAGTAAACTATTTTTAGTCGATTAATCTATACGAATTTTTGGAAATGTTTAACTTTATAATACTTGTACTTTATATTGTACTTTATCTTGTACTTTATCTTGTACTTTATCTGTACTTTATCTTGTACTTTATCTTATACTTTATATTATACTTTATCTTGTACTTTATCTTATACTTTATCTTGTACTTTATCTTGTAATTTATCTTGTACTTTATATTGTACTTTATCTTGTACTGTATCTTGTACTTTATCTGTACTTTATCTTGTACTTTATCTTATACGTTATATTATACTTTATCTTGTACTTTATCTTATACTTTATCTTGTACTTTATCTTGTACTTTATCTTGTACTTTATCTTGTACTTTATCTTGTACTTTATCTTGTACTTTATCTTGTACTTTATCTTGTACTTTATCTTGTACTTTATCTTGTACTTTATCTTGTACTTTATCTTGTACTTTATCTTGTACTTTATCTTGTACTTTATCTTGTACTTTATCTTGTACTTTATCTTGTACTTTATCTTGTACTTTATCTTGTACTTTATCTTGTACTTTATCTTGTACTTTATCTTGTACTTTATCTTGTACTTTATCTTGTACTTTATCTTGTACTTTATCTTGTACTTTATCTTGTACTTTATCTTGTACTTTATCTTGTACTTTATCTTGTACTTTATCTTGTACTTTATCTTGTACTTTATCTTGTACTTTATCTTGTACTTTATCTTGTACTTTATCTTGTACTTTATCTTGTACTTTATCTTGTACTTTATCTTGTACTTTATCTTGTACTTTATCTTGTACTTTATCTTGTACTTTATCTTGTACTTTATCTTGTACTTTATCTTGTACTTTATCTTGTACTTTATCTTGTACTTTATCTTGTACTTTATCTTGTACTTTATCTTGTACTTTATCTTGTACTTTATCTTGTACTTTATCTTGTACTTTATCTTGTACTTTATCTTGTACTTTATCTTGTACTTTATCTTGTACTTTATCTTATACTTTATCTTGTACTTTATCTTGTACTTTATCGTAATTGTTTACTTATAATCTCATAAAGGTTTTTAATCCAAGTATTTATATTAAATATTAAACAGAAATTACAACTTAATATAAAATAGTCCAAGCATATCTTATAAGCCCCTGGACCAATTTGCCTCAAATTTTTATTAAGGTCACAATAATGTTCTAAATTGAGTGGGCTGACTTTCAGAGGGAAAACTTATTTATATCGGTATACTCAGTTTGATTTTCAAAAAGTTTTTTTTAAATTGTTTTTTATTAGAAGGGGAGAAGGCTTTCGACATTTTCTATCAGATTCAACTAAATTATCTTGTGCTCGCAATTTTAAATATTTGGCAGTTGTTGTTATAATGGATTTAAATCTTGTCATTTTAGGTTCTTATACTTGTTAAATCTTGTTATTTTAGGTTCTCATACTTGTTAAATCTTGTTAATTTAGGTTCTCATTCTTGTTAAATCTTGTTTTTTTAGGTTCTCATACTTGTTAAATCTTGTTATTTTAGGTTCACATTCTTGTTAAATCTTGTTAATTTAGGTTCTCATTCTTGTTAAATCTTGTCAGTTTAGGTTCTCATTCTTGTTAAATCTTGTCATTTTAGATTCTCATTCTTGTAAAATCTTGTTATTTTAGGTTCTCATTCTTGTTAAATCTTGTTATTTTAGGTTCTCATTCTTGTAAAATCTTGTAATTTTAGGTTCTCATTCTTGTTAAATCTTGTTATTTTAGGTTCTCATTCTTGTAAAATCTTGTTATTTTAGTTTCTCATTCTTGTTAAATCTTGTTAGTTTAGGTTCTCATTCTTGTTAAATCTTGTTATTTTAGGTTCTTATTCTTGTTAAACCTTGTTAATTTAGGTTCTCATTCTTGTTAAATCTTGTCAGTTTAGGTTCTCATTCTTGTTAAATCTTGTTATTTTAGGTTCTCATTCTTGTTAAATCTTGTTATTTTAGGTTCTCATTCTTGTTAAATCTTGTTATTTTGATTCTCAATCTTGTTAAATCTTGTCAGTTTAAGTTCTCATTCTTGTTAAATCTTGTCATTTTAGGTTCTCATTCTTGTAAAATCTTGTTAATTTAGGTTTTCATTCTTGTTAAATCTTGTTAATTTAGGTTTTCATTCTTGTTAAATCTTGTTATTTTAGGTTCTCTTTCTTGTTAAATCTTGTTATTTTAGGTTCTCATTCTTGTAAAATCTTGTTATTTTAGGTTCTCATTCTTGTAAAATCTTGTTATTTTAGGTTCTCATTCTTGTTAAATCTTGTTATTTTAGGTTCTCACTCTTGTTAAAGATTTCTATCCGTGTGGGGGAACTATAATTTCAAGGTATTCACGCATTTTCCTCTTTAAAGGGACTGTATGCGTCATTTCAAGTAACCAGGCAAAGATGCCAGTGCCCGATTCATAACGGTACTCTTCTAATGTGGAATATTTTTCTAGACCTTTGAAAATAGTTTAATAGATAATTCACAAATAATTAGTTTTCAAAATTATGAATATAGATTCAATTAATCATTGTCAATCGGACATTATCATCTTTACCCGGGGGGGGGGGGTAACTTTAAATTATGCTTCCTGTATCTTCAAATTTTTTTTTATATAAAACACTACTTTTCAGAACATTTATTCTTACAGCCGGACACTGCATATTTAATGAAAAATCAAAAGGTAAAGAACATAGAATTTATTTAGATTTAAAACTTGGTGAAAACTATTTGCATTTAACAGGATCAAATTATTAAATATCGTCTTCGTATCCCGCAGTTTTATGGGTCTCACTGTAACTAAATGTTTGTTAAGAATTTTCCGCGGAAATGATTGCAGCTAAGATAGCGTTTACATTTTCTTATATTTTGAATGAATGGAAAATTTTCAATATTTTTAGTAAAATATGATGTGGGAGATGTTGTTGTGAATGCCAGACGATTTTATACATTTGTTGGTGGTGAACAATTCAAAGTCAAGAACATTTTTCTCCACAACCTCTTTAATGTAAGCTTAGTTCATTTTTAACAGTTTATCTATTAATTATATCTTTGCAATCTGCAGTCTTTTTGCCCTACAACTCTCATTGTTATCACCGTAAAAATGTTTAACTTGTAATAAATAGAAATTTTAAAGATTTTTGTAAACCTTTTTTCAATGGATTGGGTAGGGCTAAGGCGGTCTGTGTTAAAAAAATCTAAAATAGCCCATAACTGTTTTCTGACCAAAGCTAGCTACAGATCTAATAACTTTATTTTTGAAAAGTCCTTTCAAAATGGATGTAGAAACATGTGTCACACTTTGATTTTTGATTCAAACAAAACAAAAATATTTTTTACATTTTTTTTACCTTTTTTGACATTTTTTTCAACTTTAAAAGTTATCGGTCTAATTCTTTTTTCCATGAGCTGGCCTTGAAAAATTGGGCTATGATCATGCATTTCAAATCTATTCTCTCAGGCCTTTTTCCCAGGCTATACATAGATACAGACCCCCCCCCCNAACCAATGGGCAAGATCTCATAGGCTTTAATGTCAACACGGACGCAAGCTCTCTAACTATCAATGCCAAACCAATGGGCAAGATCTCATAGGCTTTAATGTCAACACGGACGCAAGCTCTCTAACTATCAATGCCAAACCAATGGGCAAGATCTCATAGGCTTTAATGTCAACACGGACACAAGCTCTCTAACTATCAATGCCAAACCAATGGGCAAGATCTCATAGGCTTCAATGTCAACACGGACACAAACACACAAACTATCAATGCCAAGCACAGGCACGATCACATAGGCTTCAATGTAGACAAGAACACAAGCACAAAACATATCAATGCCAAACAGATAGGCACAATCATATAGGCTTCAATGTCAACAGGGACACAAGCCCGTAAACAAACTATCAATGCCAAACCAATGGGCACGATCTCCGTATCTCGTTCCTTTAGACGAGGAACGAATTAATCTCTCACTGTAATCAAAGCCCAGTATATTCCAACTAATGTGTATTTATATATCTATGTTACAGATTAAGTTTAATATACGTATTTACAAGATTAGCGCGGATATATATAAGCGTAGTTAAGCCAGTCACTGACGTAGTTATAATTTGATCGCATTACAAGTTTTGCGTAGTTAATGATAAGCACATTTAGATTTACAGACAATGTACAACGTAATATATCTAGAGGTATCTTCAGGCTAACAAATATGGAGATTGCTGTATTTATTACATTCCCATATATTTTTGCAACCCAACCTGATGTGATTATAGACCTTCAAATAGTTTAATTAAACTGGACACTTGCCACAAACTCTAATTTTCTATTCAATTTATTTTTGCAACCGGATGTCATAGACCGTCGCCTTTGTCACATCAAATAGTTAAACGGAACTTTGAGTTTTTCCCATAAACTCTGATTTTTTATCTCTAAAATCTTTTCAACCTGACGTCGCGACATAGACCTTTGATATTTCAAACAATAAGTTTTGTCGGATAAAAATGTCTAAGTTTGACAAATCAAAGGTTTACACCATGCAGTAGTTTGCGAAGATTAAGGAATCAGAAAATTTGAGTTTTTGGACAAAATTGAGGTACTTATATATAGGTATATATATATTTAAGTACCTTTATAGGTATATATATAATCCCAAGTACAGTTTACAGAAATGTTACTCTTCTAGACGTTACTTGATTTTTACCAATTAAGTAAGGTTCTTATACATTGATTTAACGAGCATACATTTGTTGGATAAACCGCGCTGGGTCGACTTCATTCTGGGTTCAGTATGCCAATAATTTCTTAACAAAGACGACCTTAAAGTTTTCACTTTGTTCCCATGTTTATCGGTACACCCTGTACATATCTTTAATAGTCTCCTACTTAAGCCTGTAACGAACGAATATGATATTGCGCTACTGGAGCTGACCAAGCCGATGGAGTTCTCCCAGAGTATAGAACCGGTTTGTCTCCCGTCAGCTGATCATAAAATACCTCTTGATGGAGAGGTAATATTTCTTTGGAATCGTAGGGATGGTATTGTTTGGATTATTTTTTTAATTATTTATTATTTTTTACTATTATAAGGCTCCATGCAAAAAGACTCTGAATTTTCTTTTTAATTTGACCCATCATTTTTATAAATCGTGTTGAGATTTGTTTTGATGAATTTTTGCATGATCAAAAATGCCTTTAAACGAACCTCAGCTCAGTACTTTGGAGTCAAAACAAAATCTTCATCCGAAACCGAGTATTTTTAATTTCTTTTTTACCCTAGAAAATAGTTACTAGTTATTGGATGTGCAATTTAAGCCACGAGTAATGGCTTGACAAAAGAATTGAGTCTTTGCCACAAACTTTGATTTCCTTATCTCTATTTCTTTGTGACTCAATGTCGTAGCCCTTAGATATTTCAAACTATGAATTCTTCTGAGTTGGTGTAATGGGTCGATTACACCTACTCTTCTGGATCAAATAATCAAAGGTTTGCACCATCAGGTTGCATAGATATTGGGATCCGAAGATTTGAGTTTGTGGCAAAAATTCAATTCTTTTAAGCAGTTTACATTTTTATGGGATGACAATTTATCTTATTTCTAAAATACGATAACTAATAATATGCTTTTAATTGAAAATGTTGTTTTCTGCATGAAGATCATTAACATTGTCAAACCTTAAACCTAACCACATTTGTATCACACACAAAAAGGGGTGAAATCCCCCCCCCCCCCCCCCCCCCCCCGAATACATATTGGGTTTTAATCATTTTTTTCAGTTTATGGCAGCAGGCTGGGGTATGATAAATATAACAACCAAGAAGAAAGATTCTTTTTTACAAAAAGTAAATTTGACCATATACCCCCTTCAAGACTGTATCAATTTATATAAGGTAATTCAACAAATTTCAATTTGATAGTTTTGAAAGTAAGTGTGCACTGTGCAGACTCAACATGTTTCTGATTAATGGAAATTCTACACTCTTAAAGGGACTGTCAGCCTAATTTCAAGTGATCTTTCATTTAAATAGGGATATCCCCGATTCACAATTTGAACTTTGGAATGAAAACTCTATGTACGCTATGTACGCTAGGGTGCTGTGTGAACTTAACGCGGATAACGTCACATGTATTCCTGGAAAATCTAGAATATTCTACAGTGAAATCCTTAATAACGAATACATCGATAGAATTCATCATATGTCGTATTCTTCACTTTCTGATAATGGAATGTTGTAGATATTTAGATTTTAAATTAAATGATTATATGGAACTCTTTAAAACCTTCCTGTATTCCTGTGGCTATTTATTTATTTTCGCAAATACTGAAATTTACGTAATAAAGTCTAAAACTCATTGAACAATTGTCAAGACGACATTTGATAAATTCTTCCGATGTATTCGTTATTAAGGGTTTCACTGTATGTTCAACGCGATTTCCAAAAATTCGAATATGAATAAATTTCAAATTCTGCCACATCTATGAAAGTAACTATACGCTTATATGCCATAAAAACTAAACAGCTTGCAAACAAAATGTTCAACAATTATTCTGTAGATAAATAAGGAAAAGTCTGTCACTATCCTTGATCAGTCAAAGGTTTCTAGGCCGGTACCGTTGTGTCGAGTCGGGGATGCCCCTCGTTTAATGGAAGTTCGCTTGAAATTTCGATTATAGTCCCTTGAAAGGTACTTCTGGCGTAATTTCAAGATACCATCCATTTAAAGAATCATTTCCTTTCAGTAAAAAATATTCAATAAACTGCTGTTAAATTTTTATGATATTTTTCCTGAACCTTTAGGCATATGCATACATTGTACACGTACTGTACACATGCAAGAAAAATATCTTTGGATGAAAAGTCCTGTTTTGGGACTACAGTAATAACCCTAAAACTATGTAATAGAAAGACGACTTTTAGACTCAAGTTATAGCTTTAAATAGTCCAATGAGCATGAAACACAGCAGTTGTGCAGTGCAAACAGACCAATTTCACTTAATAAGTGAATTATATGTTACTTGTGAAACTATTTGCTTTGGATATACACCAAATACACTTAATTAGTGCTTTAATGTCGTTTCGAACCTTAACCCACAAATGTTCTGGTTTTGAATTTGTTTAATGTTAAATACAAAATATGTAAAAATTAGTTCGTTAAATATATCTGAACACTTCCTTAGTGTATCAATCCCACAATATATCAAACCAGCGGCCAGAGCGCTGCCAAGGTTACTAAAAGTTACTCCCGCGATTTACTCGCAATTGAACGATTTTACCGGGAAACTAAATTTTTGCTATTAATGTCGACCCACTCAACTTAGAATCTAAAAAGCTAAGAACATTTCCGTGGACCTTCCGAGTTCCCCAGTCAAAATGTGAGGCAAATCGGTCCATGGGTTTCTGAATTGTGATCGGAACAAACAAACAGACAAACAGAGATTACAACTTTATTCATATAGATTATAGTAATCTCTTTTTATATGTTTTTTTGTCTGTTTGGATGTTCGACCATAACACAGGAACCCCTGGACCGATTGGGTTCAAATTTCGTTTGGGAACCTCGGTAGAACCACGGGATACACGGGAATATTCCTGGTTTAAAAGTTCTAAGTTGATAAATTCTAATAAAACTTTTATAGTGAAATTTCCGACAAAGCTGGGTTCCCAATCTAGTACTTTATAATAATATTTGTTTTCAATTAAAAGCTCTTTTGATCAAAAAATAACAAAATATTTTAATGTTGTCCTAGAATGAGAATACTATCAAGAAGGTTACACCTCAGCATTTATGTACCTTGAGAAAAGGAAAAGATGTGTGTCGAGGTAAAATAGAAACGAACAGAAAATAATTTTGTACACATTGTATTCCCCCAACTTAGCTGTCCCTCGGGACATTTAAGTAAAATAACATTCCGCTCTGTAAAGTTTTTGTGAAATACTGTGCGCATTTTCATCTCAAAAGACGATAAAGTTGTGTAGAATTACTTATACGGGAAGTTCAGAATGTTACTTAACCACGAGACAAATTGGTCTTGGGAACCCTTGATCGAGTAAAATTCTCTAAACTTCCCTGAACAATAGTTGTAAATTATCTTTATTTTGAGGCATCTCCTTTATTTAAGTTTATTTTCAAAAAAATGCAGATTAAGCAGTGCACCCTGTGTAGTATTTTACGTCATAAGTATACAAAAGTTGGTTGACTGTTGCTCAAGGGTATGAATGTTATGCCATCTACAAATAATATTGCGTTTACATGTTTACATTTAAATGCTATTTCTAATTTGCTAATGCACAAATCAAGGGTTCATGAAAAAATTATGCTGAAGGACAAAAAATGTAATTAGATTTAAGGATGTATATAAAAGACAGGAATTGAGTCTTTGCAACAAACTGTGATTTTCTAATTCCTAAATCTTTGCAACCAAATGTCGTAGGCCTTAGATATTTCATACTGTAAATTCCATTGAATCAAATGATTTAAGTTTGAAATATATCAAAGGTTTACATCAACAGGTTGCAAAGATATTGAGACTTGGAATTTTTAGTTTGTGGCAAAGACTCAATTTCAGATCAGGCTTTCACGTAAAAATTAAGCAGTACTATCTTTCAGAGATGTCTATTTTCATTGATTTAAGTGCAATAAAAAAATCATAAAAATATATTAAAAAGTTTAGGTGATTCAGGTGGTCCATTGTTTTTGAGAGAAAATGGAATTTATATTCAGGTTTATACTTTTATCATCAAGATTTAATGTAAAATAATTCTTTATTCAAATCACTAGAAAAATTGAAAATTTAAAGGAATAAAAACATTGAAGAATGAAAGGATTACTTGGTACAAACTCTAATTTTCTCATAATTATAACTTTGCAACCTGATTTTGTAGAATTTAGACCTTTGATTTTTATAAACTATAAATTCTGTGAGATTAAGAACATAAAATGCAAAGATATAAGGCCAAAAATTTTGAAATTTGAAAAATTTACTTTCAGGGTTAATTTAAAGTTTGTCTCGTCGAATAATCAAACGGTCGACATTACTCTTATAGGGTTTAACACATTTTTTTTACCCCCCCCCCCCTATTTTTCCTTAGCTAAATTAATACAGAAAAGGACCCTTGCAAAGATGGCAATGCCTGATTTACAACGGTACCCTTGAAAGCTTTATATCTGACAAAGTTTGTTTCTTTAACATGTTTATTTTCATTCGCAGCTTCTCTGTTAAAGTGACTCGCGCATTTCTTGTTTATAAGATGTAATGGAGAAACTCACATTTTTTGAGTTAGAAAAAAGTTAGGATTGTCATATTTGCATGAAGGATCACTTAAATTTACGCTTACAGTCCCTTTAATCTTGTAAAAACTATTTTTAGATTGGTATATCGTCCTGGGGCACTGAATGTGCAAATTCCAAATATCCAGCAGTTTTCATAAATGTTCATTCGTTTAGTTCTTGGATTGAAAATATTGTAACTAACGATACAACTACAATTAGGTATTTATTTCAGTAATTTGATAAACAAAACAAACAAACCTTCAAAAATCGTACAGTGAGAGCCAGAAAACTGTGAAATACTGCAGTGTATTTAATGTTATTACAAAGCAAATAGATTTACTAGATATTAAATCACTTATTTCAAGTGAAATGGGTCTGATCCACTTCACAGCTGCTGAGGCTTTTGTTCATTGAAGTATTTAAAGTCAGAACTTGATTCCAAAAGTCGTCTTCCTATTCTAGAGTTTTCTGGATCTCACTGTAATTACTTTTGCAGTGGTAGCACAACGTTAGTTACTTCCAGTTCAACATTATCAAACATATCTACAACAACAACATCAATGTCACCCTCTGGATTTTCTTCACATTTGCCCACCAGATCTACGTCAAGCTCCACTACACGATCAACATCAAGAATAACACCAAGATCAACTACTACATCAACTAATAAATCAACTACAATTACAACATCGACAACCACAACAACAACCAAATCCACATCTACATCAAAGATAAGATCCACATCTAGACCAACATCTGGAGTAAATAATTCATCCTCAGCAGGATTGATGAGTTCTTCTAGTTCTGAAGGAACCACAAAAAAACCTACAACTGGTAAATAAATAGAACAAACAGATGGTTAATCTTTTTCGTTGGATATTTAGCTCACATAAATTTCACTAGAGGGGGAGTAATAATTTTACGTATTGTCCCGTTTTGCCTTATATTGTCCTCTATACGTACTGTACAGCCTGCTGTAGCAGGTTCAAAGTCGGTTCTGTACTTGAAATGAACCGGAGTTTACAGTGAGCTAAGTCTAGAATTTCTTTAGCCTGTTTTCCCTCTTTACTGAATATCCTATTCAAAAGTTTCGCCCTCAGATTATGGTCACAAGTTTAATCTGAGCTCCAGATTTATAAAAGAGATTTAACGTTTAGTTAAAGACTTAAATCTTAAATCATAACCCTCTAAATCAATTCAAATTAGATATCTTTTTTGTCTCAAGCATAACATATCATTAGTTGGTATGTACTTAAATACAGCCATAACTTGTATAATTATCAAAAAATTAGATGATCTGTGTTATTATTCGTAGCTTAACGTACGGGTTTAAACTCGGGTTTAGGACGAAAGGAATTGAGTCTTTGCCACAAATTCAGTTTTTGTAAAATCTATATCTTTGCAACCTTATGATGTAAAACTTTGATATTTCAAACATTATTTGATCTAATAGCATTCATAGTTTGAAATATTAAAGGTCTACGACATTGGGTTGCAACAATATTGAAGTTAGAAAATCAGAGTTTGTAGCAAAAACTCTATTCCTTTCTTTACAAAATCTCACTTTTTAACAAGGACAAAATAAACTTTAAACCTAGTACAATTTATAATAAAAAAGGGAATATCCCTTCAGTTAGAATTCAATTGACCTGAGTAACATGTCTAAGTAAAAAAGAGAAGACTCTAAAGTCGTCTTTGATCGTTGATAAACCACCGAATGAGAAAATAACAAAACCTTTTTAGATTCACTCTTTGACATTTATCGAACATGTAGTCGTCTCTATATATAGTAATTTATCTTCCAAGTCCATGGGGATAATTTTCGTTCTGTAAAATTATTTTTATCATGATTTTAACTCTAATATTTTGAAGGTAAACAATCTGATTTTACTGGATCCTCGGAACAGTTAAGTTATTTCTCCTCAATCTGTACTCTTGTGATTTTTATTTTGATCAAATAAAATACTATTCACATGGATTTTATAATAAATGATAAAAAGAATAGAAATGCTATAGCTTCAGATTAGAAAGAGAAAGTGAGCCTTTATCCAATTTTATTATAAACTAGCTAAAGTGCCCGGCGTTGTCCGTGGAATAAAAAAATTAATTTTGAAAAAAATTATTTTTAGATAAAATTTCTATACCCTATGTTACCCCTAAGGCATTCGTGGGTTCCCAAAAAAAATTCAGCCAATCGGGCCATTCCTTTGGCCAGCCATAGCATATTTATATATGTATAACATATTTATAAATATGAGCCAAGAGTTTTATTTATATAGGCAAATGTGGGATCCTGGAAATTTGACCCAACTCCATTTAGAATTTTTAAACATACACGTGGTTCTATTGAGATTTGAGTTACCCAACTAAAATTTTATTCAAATTGGTAAAGGGGTTATTGAGTTATGATCGGACAAACAAACATGCTAAATTAAATACTAGCTTGGGAACCCAGCTTTGCATGGGTTCTGTTCTTTCAAATTTGCATCGCTGAAGTTAAACCTAATCCTGTGCTTTATTTGATCTAATCAAAGTTTTATTAGAAGCTAGAAAGTTTTCTTAAACTGTTTTCAAGTTTTCTGAAATTCGATCAATTTATTTTTGAGATGTCGTCAAAGTTTTATGAAATACTATCAAGGTTTTCTAACATAATATCAAAGTTTTATGAAATGCTATTAAAATTTTATAGAACACAATCAAAGTTTTCTGAAATTCTATAAAAACATTTTTGTGATTCCATCAAAGTTTTCTAAAATGCAATCAAGTTTTCTGCACTACTATCAAGGTTTCTGCAACGGTAGTTTTTTTATGTCAATATTGGGCTAGAGCAGCTCTTCTTAAATCTTTTGAATGACAGGTTTAAACTGCTCTATATATAAATAAGCTGAAAACTTTAGGATGGTGGATATTGAGATAAATGCTTATAAGATCATCTCTTTTTCTTAATATCGAGACTAGCCTAATCTTGTCCTTGTATCCTGAAAAGTGTATAAAATTCAACCAATCAGAGTCGCATATATAAAGCCTATAAATTTAAAATTTTTGTGCGCCATTTAAGATTAATATTCAGAAATGGGAGGGACTCGCTAATTTTTAAAAAACCGGTTTTTAAGAAGACAATCAAAAGTGTCTCCATTGGATACTCAGATTAAGTAATCGGAATTAAGGATATCTCATTTTAAAGATTTCAGCCCTGGTTCTTCTTTAATTCTTTATTTAGATGGTGATACTGGATAGATATGTTACTGTTTAACTACAGTATACAGTTTAACTGAAATAGACATAAGATATTATAACATTATTAAGAACAATTTTTTTATGATTTAAAAAATGCTTACATGAGAATTCAAGTAGATTCCACATTTACTGCCATATGAGATGGTTAAGTCCCCTACTGGAACCTATTCAGGCATATTCTTTCACATGCACACGGTCAGGAGTGCGCTTAACAAGGATATGTATATATTTTATATAGTAAAAAATGGAAATAGATCGCTTGTCTTGGTCTTTTCTGATCGGTTGGTTTTGCGAAAAGTGAAACTTCCAGTTCAAACCCCCATTAATCACTTTTGTGGCATTGAAGAAAAAGTTTTTAAAAAGATTCTGAACGTCGTGTATTTGTTAAAAAACTGCATGGTGTTAATGCTCATCAGAAATTGACGAACAAGTGTTTTCAGCAGTACAGTATTCTCATATTTCTCAGCATTGTTTAATGCAGTTTTAACAAAACTGTTAATGTATCAAGTAATAAAACATGCTTTACTTTAATCTCTTAGGTTTTAAGCTGATTTTTTAAAATCATTTTCTCGCATTTGTCATTTGAAAAATACATTTTTCACCAGAAAATAAATATATTAAAATAAACAGGATCTCCTTCGATAAAATAAAGTTTTGTTAATTATTAAAATTATCTGATCCATCCCTTTAAAGTTATCAAGTTGTAAGAGATTCAGAAGCTCTTTTTGCTTTTTCCCCAGTTCTTTCCATATCCGATTGCCAAAAGATTTTGTTAAGTTCAAATATTTTTTATTTTGGGGATGCAAATTGATAAAATAGTGACAAATTTCTAAACTTAAGCTAGTTTAACTGCTTCTGTTGACCTACCTCTATCTCACATAGATCCAGACTGCGGTTAAAAGTTGCATCTAGTCCTGGTCGACATTGAAGTGTCGCAACGCCTTGGCTTTTTCTTTGAATCACATGTGATATATTCATAAACTCTCACCTCAAGAACGACGGGGGACTCCCCCCTTGAAAATAAACCAGAAAAATACAGAAGAATACTACAGTTAAACCCTAAATGAGCAATACATTGAAAGAATTTATCAAATGTCGTCTTGACATTTTTTCAGTAGGTTTTATACAATTTTACGTAAATCTCAGTATTTGCGAAAATAATAAATAGCCATGAATATGCGGGAACAGGTTTAATGAGCTCCATTTAATCATTTAATTAAAAACTAAATATCTGCAACATTCTATTATCAGAAAGTGAAGAATACGACATTTGATGAATTCTTTCGATGAATGGCTTATTTAGGGTTAAACTGTAAGATTTGTTGGCTTCAAGAAAATCAGATTAGTTGACTGCATGTGTAAGCGATCATGTGTCAAACATTGTCAATATATTCACAGGTAATTGGTCAGGAGGGAGGGGGGGAGGGCAGATCTTCAGGGCTTGGAGTAAAATCCCAATTCAAAAAATGGCAGACCACCATTGAAATGGCACTGCTAGCGCTATTCTGTAATTATTATTTCATAAAAAATATTGTTATTATCAGGTTACCTATAGTTGAATGCTACAAACTATTTCTTAGGTCAAAGAAGACCTGAAAGCCATCAATCAATTTACATTATTCCAGGTTAATTAGAGTTTTACTTCATATTCTTTGAATTTAGAAAAGTGTATTACCTCCGAAATGTGGATTAAGTGTTGGTTCCAATTTTAACAAAATTGTTGGAGGAGTTGACGCAGTTCCAGGAGAATTCCCTTGGATGGTAAACAAGCATTATTTAATTCTTTACAGTCGTCGTCGTATACATCAAAACAATGAAGACGACTTTTAATTTGATTTTTTTTTTAACAGCTTGGATACACCGAAACATGGAAACACAAAGAATTTGTCAATTAAGCGCTTCTCAATATTTACTTGTAAACTTGTAATTTCAAAAAAGCTTGTTAGAAATCAAAACTTAAAATGAAATGTCGTCTTCATGGTATTCAGGGGCGTAGTCAGGAATTTGTCCAGGAGGGGGCTTACATTTTTTTTATTCCAGGTGGAGGGGGGCTCAGCAACCGTTGAGGTCTTAAAAAAAACCTGAAATCAATAGATATCGGTGGTCCAGGGGGATGTGGCTGAAATTGATACCTACACTGAAAAAGCTGTAATCTGTAGATATTTCGTCTGCCAGAGTTTAGGTTTTGTTTCTTTATGTTTTGGTTGCATTAAACCTTAAATTATATTTAACTCTATTTATCAGGTTATGGTTAAAATAGAGAAGGGTGTTTGTGGGGGCACAATCATTTCAAGGTTAAACTATTATTTGTTTATAATTTTTAAAAATTATATTTTGAAAAAGAATTGGTTTTAGAAAACAATGTTGTTAAAATAAGGTATGGAAGGGGTATCAATTTTAACATTTTGGGATAAAATCAAAATTTTGATTTATTATTAATTTAATTTTTAGGAAACATATCCTAAGTGCAGCTCACTGTTTCGTTGATAAAGATAATCACGGTTGGATTTTATAATTTTACTCTTTTATGACACAGAATTCACAGATAGACAATTAGACATGAAAGTTTTTTCTTTAAAGGTACTGTCAGATAGACAATTAGACATGAAAGTTTTTTCTTTAAAGGGACTGTCAGATAGACAATTAGACATGAAAGTTTTTTCTTTAAAGGGACTGTCAGCGTAATTTCAACTGACTTTCCATTTAAAGAGGGACATTCCCAATTCACAACATTACCCAATGAACATATGACTGATCATCGATTAAATGTTGTTTTAAAAACCCCCAAAACCTGGAGTGTACGCTAGAGTACTTTATGAACTCTATATTTTCCAGGAATGAATGTAAAGTCAGTCACGTTGAGTTCATAAAGTACTTTAGCGTACACTCTAGGTTTCGGGGTTTTTTACAACATTTAATCGATGATCAGTCATATGTTTATTGGGTAAATGTCCTCCGCGGTTATCAAGATTCGAATGTGAATATTAATATTCTGCGATTTCTATAAAGTAAATAATAATATTCCTTAAATTTAAAACAAATTGTAAACAAGTGTTCAACAATTACTTCAGCGTTTTTGAAAATAAATAAAGAAAAGTCATCTTCGATCAGTCAAAGGTTTACAGGGTTACGTTGTCAGGGGCGGATACAGGGGGTGGGGTGGCAGAACCTTTGCACCCCCCTGAGATTTCAGAATAGCTTAAATATCACTTAAGGGACAGAAAACCTCGTGCAAATCAGGAAAGTCAAAAAAATTTAGACTTCGGCATGTCTTTTTGTTCCTAAATCTGGATTTTTTTTGTTCCGAAATAAATCTAGTAATCCCCCTCACTTAAACCGTGTATCCACCCCTGAACGTTGTGAATCAGGATCCCCGTCTCTGAATGGAAGGTCACTTGAAATATCATAAAACAAACTCCAAAAACTGCATTTTGCACGTAACACATATCATGCGTTTTCTTTTTCTCTATTTTTTATATTTTTTTATATTTTTAATATTCTTTTTTATAAAAATGTTCAACTTTTTTTTTAAGATTACATTATCATTATACCCTGAAAAAAAACATTTAATCATTCCTTCCTTTCATACTGTTCTTTATTCTAGCAATTTGATTTATATTTCTAAAAGTTCCAAATATTAGCCACTAATAAAGGTTTTATCTATAACTAAAATCGTTTGGTCCTTCCAAATTGTTTTTGTATCTCCAATCAATAGCAAAAATTAAAATGTAAGGCAATTAAAAAATGAACTGCACATGAGCAATGGTTTATTGCAGGTTTTTTAGTGAGCATTTTTGTTAGATCTAATTAAATATTTTGAGCAGTTGAGAGCATAATGACTAAAAATAATCTAAGAACTTATAAATTTGTGTAATCTGTGGACTAAATCTTTTATTTAAACTTTTTTAAATTGTTATACTTACAAAATTAGTTTTATTTCATTTAAATTTTAAGAGAAATGATTACTTGCATCACACTCTAAATTCTTTGATATCTGGGAGCTATGAATTTGTTTATAGAATCAAAAAGTCAATATTTTAATGCACCAATTGATATAAAAATTAGAGTTTGAGGCGAGTAGTCAGTTCCTTTTTCTTTAAATAGTCATTTTAGAAATGCGGCATCCCACTGATGTTCTTATCTACGTTGAAAGATTTCAACGAACTTTTGGAGGAAAAGCTGAAAAAGTGACAAAGATTATCATCAGAAAAGACTATAATGTAAGAATCAACGACAATAAAATGTCCACAAATACTTGGTATAAATCAAGGTACTAATGCAAGGGAAGTTATTTCAGAGGTGTACGCATTTTTTGTACTGCAGTGTACTGTCTTTGGGCGGAAAAGTAAACCTAAGACGGATGTCACATGGAATCCATTTTCACAAAAATAATCAATGAAATATTCTGGTCTTAGGAAACTATTATGTGAATTATCAAAGTTATCAAGATTAGATGCTCTTAACAAACTCGGATACTAAACGAACACTGATGCACCTATTCTTGTTTACAAATTCCGTCCAGAGAGAACTGGTTTCAATATGTACGCAGAGTATACGCGACCGCAATTAACTTTCCTTGCATTAGTACCTTGGTATGAATTAATAAATACCGCGTGCAATAAGCGCGGTAACTTAAATTTTCACTAAATCCTTGAGCAAAGTTTCAAAAACTGCATAAGTGGACAAAAATATATAATTATCATGTTAAATATCAATTTCTTTGTTTTTGATCAAGGAAACGGATCCGTAAAACTTTCACATTACTTTTTAAAATTTTCGAATTTTTAAAAGTTTTTGAAATTTTGACAGCGATTTTTAGCTAAAATGTGAGATTAGTGCTCATGGCACCTATTGTGTAATGGGAGAAGTTATCGTGCGCGTTTTTAAAATTGTAATCTGTGTTCACCATTTTCTTCAGATATTAAATTTCTTTATCATAATGTATTGAATTCATAATCAAAATTTGAGCCGCGGCTTAAATGTAAACCGCGACTCAAATTCTTTAAATTCGGCCTCCGGTTATTGTTTTAATTTAAAATTAAATATTTCTGCTGTATATTTTGTTTAACATGTTTTGGAATAGTTATTATTAACTATTAGTTTATAATTTCCTGTTTACGGTACTGATTCTTTTCTTCCATTTATTATGTTTCTTAAAATATTTAAATAATTCCGTATTTATTTTGTTTTTTTACTACAGTCTTTCAGCATTTTTTAAACTGGCATGTGAGGTTAAATTGTTTCAGTCGTTCTGACGTTTCTTGGAAACTAACAAACAAACCAAACATCAGACAAACAGACAAACCAAATATAAATATATTTTTAACTAGGTAGAAACTAGCGAGAATGATATAGCTGTATTAGAGCTTGTTAATCCTTTGGTCTTCACTAAAACCCTTGGGCCCATATGTCTTCCAGATACATCCTTCATCCTACAGCCTGGAGAACAGGTTGGGAATATCTTTCATCCTGCAGCACGGAGAACAGGTTTGGAATATCCTTCATCCTAGAGTCTGGAGAGCAGGTTTGGAATATCCTTCATTCTACAGCCTGGAGAACAGGCTGGGAATATCCTTCATCCTACAATCGACAGGTTGGAAATATCATTCATCCTACAATCTGGAGAACAGGTTTGATATATCCTTCATCCTACAATCTGGAGAACAGGTTTGATATATCCTTCATACTACAGCCTGGAGAACAGGTTTGATATATCCTTCATCCTACATTCTGGAGAACAGGTTTGATATATCCTTCATCCTACATTCTGGAGAACAGGTTTGATATATCCTTCATTCTACAGCCTGGAGAACAGGTTAGGAGTATTCTTCATCCTACATTCTGGAGAACAGGTTTGATATATCCTTCATCCTACAGCCTGGAGAACAGGTTTGATATATCCTTCATCCTACAGCCTGGAGAACAGGTTTGATATATCCTTCATACTACAGCCTGGAGAACAGGTTTGATATATCCTTCATTCTACAACCTGGAGAACAGATTTGATATATCCTTCATCCTACATTCTGGAGAACAGGTTTGATATATCCTTCATCCAAACAATCTGGAGAACAGCTTTGATATATCCTTCATCCTACATCCTGGAGAACAGGTTTGATATATCCTTCATCCTACAGCCTGGAGAACATGTTTAGAACATCCTTCATTCTGCAGCCTGGAGAACAGGTTTGAAATATCCTCCATCCTACAGCCTGGAGAACAGGTTTGGAATATCCTTCATTCTACAGCCTGGAGAACAGGTTTAGAACATCCTTCATTCTACAGCCTGGAGAACAGGTTTGGAATATCCTTCATCCTACAGTCTGGAAAACAGGTTTGGAATATCATTCATTCTACAGCCTGGAGAACAGGTTTGGAATATCCTTCATCCTACAGCCTGGAGAACAGGTTTGAAATATCCTCCATCCTACAGCCTGGAGAACAGGTTTAGAACATCCTTCATTCTACAGCCTGGAGGACAGGTTTGGAATATCATTCATTCTACAGTCTGGAAAACAGGTTTGAAATATCCTCCATCCTACAGCCTGGAGAACAGGTTTGGAATATCCTTCATTCTACAGCCTGGAGAACAGGTTTGGAATATCATTCATTCTACAGCCTGAAAAAGTTTAAGGTTAACATATTTTTTTTAGGTTTTGGCAACGGGATGGGGTCAAGAGAAATATGAAGAGAATCTGAGCAAAAACCTCAAAAAAGTGAATTTAAACATTTTTGCTTTGAAAAGGTGTGTTGAGAAATACAAGGCAAGTAAAATTAACATTTTGATCTATTTAGTTTAATATTTTAAACGTTTTCCGACTTTTTTTGAGTAAACTAGAAACTGGAGTAGCTCATAGGGCGCAAAGTCTTTCCAGTAAAGCCGCACTTATTAAACAAATGTGTAGTTTGGAGGGATGTCCGTCTGTCCGAAAAATAATGCTTAATTAATTATTAATTATTTCAGGGTTTTTCTGAGAAGATAATTGGACCCGGAAATATTTGCACTTTGAATAAGGATGGCCGGGATGCTTGCTTAGGTTTGCAAAGGACGTAGTGCCTATTTGGCCTTGGCTTTTTTTTTCAATTATATTTTTTAAAGTACGCCAGGGGGTGTCAAATAAGTATTTTAATTTTTTTTTTTGAGGCCTAAAATCTCCACTTGATTTATAATTGAATTTATTTTTTCTATTTATTTTCGGAAAAAATATTATTTTTTTGGGGAGGATAAAGAAATAATCAACATAATTTTATAGGATTAGAAAAAGAACAAAAACTCGATCCATAGCTTGATTCTAATTGATCTTTATAAGTCTTGAAAGCTTTCATCATTTAATTCACAAAAGTTACCGAGAAACATCAACGTGTACGCTTGAAAGCTTTATATATCTATTTATATATATCTATAATCTATTTATATAATATAGTTTTTTTTCTTTCTAGGAGACTCAGGGGGACCAATGTCTATATTAAAAAATGGACAATTTTTACAGGTTAATATTTACATGTTTAATAAAAATGGGAAATGAATTAAATTTTATCCGTTAAACATAATAAAATTAAAAATTTTAAAATATAGTCTTCAAATCTAAATTTGCTACATAGATATGTATAATTGTGTTAAAATAGAAAACGGAGTATAAGAATATTTTCATTTGAAATAAATGTAATATTTTCTATATTAAATATAGTTAAAGGGACTATAAAGGAAAAATGAAAGGGAGTATATGATGAAACCTGAGATTTTCAGGCGTTGAATGATAAATAAAAGAATTCTATCTGATGTTCCTGTCTCGAGAAATTGATATAAAACTGTGTCAAAATTATACGAAAATTCATATTTATGCATTTTTGTATAAAAGTTGTAGTATTAAACAGATCATATTAAAAAAATACGAAACCAATCTCTAAATGATTATATCCCACAGGAGCCTGAGAATCCCAGGTTTGCTCCTATTATAATTTTTTAATTTTGATTTTTCATTTTGAATAGATGTAATTGATTATAGTATTGTACACATAGTCCATATAGTCCGTATTACGTCACAATAACTTCAGCCAATAACAGTGCAGTATTGTTGTCACGTGGTACAGACGGAAATCACGTGGCCAGTATACTGCACTGCCATTGGCTGAAGTAGTGGTGAGTAATACGGACTTTATGGATTAAATGTAATAATATTATCAATTATATCTATTCAAAATGCAAAATAAAAATTAAATACTTATAACAGGAGCAAACCTGAGATTCTCAGGTTTCTGTTGGAAATAGTCTTTATCAATCTACCAATCCGACCACTCTTTTAATTGATTAATAGGGAGATCGGTTGTGTACACCTGAGGTAAGCTTTACCTCTTCGTTTTATTACTCTATGCAAAAAGGTATCGCAACGAGACTCGCGCAGGATTAAAAGGTCGATTCTGTACAGGGAAGATCTGGACGTGTCTGACGTCACTGACTATCTGTTTATCGGAAGACAGTTCTAGAATCCGTACCCTATCGTCTGTGTCACCAGGTTATGACGTAGGCAGCGGACAGAAGCTAGAACAACTAGAATTGCATGACTACCTTACCATGTTCCAGTTCCCATGGTTCAGATATACAAATGAGAATATCTACCTCATCGTTGTCCGGACAAAGGTTTAAAGGGTACCGTTGTGAATCGAACATGATCTCTCTAAATGGAAGGTCACTTGAGATTACGCTTACAGTCCCTTTAAACTACTACTTGATATTTAGTAAATTTGGTCCCAGGTCGGGATAACATCCTGGGGATATAAATGTGCTGAACCTGATTATCCCGGAGTTTGGACCAACCTCCCTCATTTCATTCCTTGGATAGAGGATGTCCTCCAGTATACAGAGGATGGCAGGTATAGTGATAACCAGAAAACTCTGAAATAGGAAGACGACTTTTAGAAAGTTATAACTTTAAAAAGTCCAATAAGAAAGAGACACGCCAATTGTGAGGTGGAAACAGACCAATTTCACTAAAATAGAAATTTAATAAGTTACTAGTAAGTATTTGCTTTGTAACAACATCAAATACACTGAAGTATTCATATAGTTTCGTCTTCCTATTCAGTTTTTTCTGGTTATCACTGTATATAAACTTTAAAAAAGAACTGATCACTATTCTGAGACGCCAACCTTCTTTCTATGAAACCAGCTGCCGTATGGCTGACAAACTATGGATTCTGCTAGATCAAAGAGACAAGTTTCAAATATCCAACAGGTTGCAAAGTTATAGAGATCAAATTACACTTAAAAGCGCAATTTCAAGTGACCCTTAATAGAAAGATGGGCATGCCCGATTTACAAGGGAATACTTGAAACCTTTATCTGATCAAGATCCATTTCTTGTTTAAGCAAGAAATGCCAGAGTCAATAAAAATTAAAAAGAACATTTTTAAGAAACTGAAACATATTTAATTCATACTTGATCATACAAAGCTTTAAGAGTACCATTGTAAATCGGGCATTGCCATCTTTGTGAAGGGTCACTTGAAATTACGCTTACAGTCACAATAAAGACTGCTTATAGTGCTCATCTCTGCTTTCCTTGTTCCCATTCTATTACCTAGGAACTGTAGTTGTAAATTAGCTGACAGCACTGAGCCTGATATTCTATTATCTAGGAACTGTAGTTGTATAGTAGCTGACAGCACTGAGCCTGATATTCTATTATCTAGGAACTGTAGTTGTAAAGTAGCTGACAGCACTGAGCCTGATATTCAGAGGGTTGGGAGTACAGCAGGGTCCACGTTTATCACCACCAGTTATGCATACAACTTTCAATGCATTATTATAGGATTTATACTTTTTAGTTTTTATATTCATTGATTAAAGGAACTGAGCTATTGCCACAAACTCAAATTTTCTATGTCCTATGTCTTTACAACTTGATGGTGTAAACCTTTGATATGTCAAACTAAGATTATTTTATCTAATAGAATTCATAGTTTGATATATCACAGGTTTATGACATAGGATGGCAAAGATATATCGATTATAAATCAGAGTTTGTGTCAAAGACTCAATTCCTTGTCTTCTTTATCTGTCTGTATCAAGGAGTATTGAATACTATCAAGCAGGAATCAGCAGATGATTAAATACATGTTTTGGAAAAGAAAATCTTTGTCTGTCGTCTTTTTTAATGTGGTTCATTTACTTTAAAACATTTAATTTAAAAAAATAACTTGTTGCCAACTTTTTTTAGTTCCACGGCATTTCATTTGTGCTGCAATTTGTGCTGCAAAAAATTTCCAAGTTATTCATTACTCAGCCTACTTTTTTTTAGAAAGTATTCCATGTATTTAATCATATGTTGTGTATATAGTATATTTTACTCCCTGGTCTGTATGTCATTTAATTGATTGTGATATAATTCAATTAACATCATATTTTTAGAAAACACTTATAAGTATGGTTGTTCTCTATTCAATAAAGGTTATCAAATATTCTTTATTGACAAGTTGGATAATCTTATCTAGAGAGAAAATATAAAAGGAATTGAGTTTTAGCGACAAACTTAAATTTTCTAATTTCTAAATCTTCGCAAACTATGAATGATATTTTAAACTATGAGTTCTGTTAGACCGAATAATCTAAGTTTGAAATATAAAAGGTTTACACTACCTGAGTCTAAAACTAAAGAACGAAAAGTGTTGACTTAAATTTTAAGTTCATGGTTAAATGCCACTTCTGACTTAATTTAAACCTGAACTTTAACCATGAGGTTAAATATTTAACCCTGTGGTTAAATGTTTAACTCGCCGAAATCGAGGAGTTAAAATTTAAACACAGGGTTAAACTCTTGAAATCCCGCAATCCCTATTTGTCAAATAATCATCATTCAGCGGTAAGCGGCATTCAACTAATTACGACATATTTAAAAGTATAAACCTTGATTTAATAAATTTCACGTTTTAGATTAATTAATGTTTGCACGTAAACCCAAAATACGGTTGTAACTAGATATATGTTTTGTTCTCCGTCACGTAAATAACTTGAAATTTAAAAAAACAGCTGATTACCGATAGAATTACGTTAATAATTCTTTAAATCCTTTTCTCTGATTGGTTCAGATTTTTCCCGGGAAATTCAAATTTAAAATTGAGAAAGTTTAATATTTAAATAGCTATTCATTATTTTACAGAACTTTTAACCTCGAACTTAAAATTCGCGCATTCTTTAGTTTTAGACTCAGGTTGAAAAGACATAGGAATTAGAAAATTTGAGTTTGTGACAATTTTGAGTTTCATCCAGATATCCTCATAAAATTTTTTATATATATCAAAAGAAATGTTTTTTTAATGACCCCGAAAAAAAGTTTTTTTTACGATTTGTTTTTTTAAAGAATTTGTCAATCCTTATTAAACCATTTGAAACTAGCTTTGTAAAAAACCTAATCAAGAGGGTTTCAAGATGTTTTAATTTGACTCCATCTCGAATAAATTAAAAAAATTTCTAATTAATGATTATTTTTTTATTTCAATTGTTTTGACTTTTAGATTTTGCATTTTGTTTTCAGATAATTAGGGTTGTCGGTTCTTAGTATAAAAATATGGATAAACGCTAAAATTATGTGAGTTAAAGAAGACAAATTTAACACATCAATTTCACAAGAAGGGGATCATTCATTTGGCAAAGACAATATTTTTTCAAAGTTTTGCAGAATAGCTTTTCCAAAGATTTAAAAAAGAAACATCTTTTTCCTCTTAGAGTAAAACGATTTTTTATGTTACTTAAAATAAATTCATTTTTTTACAGATCTTTGTAGTTAATGTCAAAAGAATGACAGTGATAACCAGAAAACCCTGGAATAGGAAGACGACTTTTAAAATTAAAATATGACTTTAGATAGTCCAATTAGCACGGGAAACAGAAATTTTGTAAACAGACCCATTTCACTTGATTTATGATTTAATAAGTGTCTAGTAAAATTATTTGCTTTATAACAACATCAAATACACTTCCATATTGCTAAAAAGTCGTCTTTCTATTTAGGAGTTTTCTGGTTATGACTGTATAATGAAGGATATAAAACAAGGTGAAAGCATTTATTTGATGGAGTTTGTAAATGCCAGAAATGAGTGGAAAATGCAAATCAAACCCAACTAAAACCAATAATTTGATAAACATCATGATATTTTTCAAGGGGGGGGGGTAAAAAAAGTGCGCCACATTTAAAAACATTTACCTCCCCCCCCCTCCCTACAGAATCCTTATTTACGCCCCTGAGTAAGACATAAAAGATACTGAAAGATATCAAAAATTAGCAACAGAAATTTAAAAATATTGAGAAAGTATTATGTTAAGATGTATTGATAATTTAAAGAAAACACATCATAATTAGAAATATTGACAAGAAAGAACTATAACATAGAAAATATCAAGAACTTTTAAAAAAAGAATTAATAAATATTTTAAGAAAAGAAAGATTGATAAATATGATTAACTATTATATAAAAGAAAGATTGATTGCTAGAAATTTGATAATTTTGTTATATTATATAGTTGGATGAGTGAGCCCCCCTAGCTGCCATTAGAATGGATAGAACGGGCAATAAATTCTACAAAATGGCCAATTAGATCAAGAGTACAAAGGGATTCAGAGACTTCATGCAAATTGCTTTTCTTTCAGAAATATACATTACTGATTTATTCTTGAGCAGAAATATACATTTCTGATTTATTCTTGAGCAGAAATATACATTACTGATTTATTCTTGAGCAGAAATATACATTACTGATTTATTCTTGAGCAGAAATATACATTACTGATTTATTCTCGAGAAGAAATATACATTACTGATTTATTTTTGAGCAGCAATATACATTACTGATTTATTCTTGAGCAGAAATATACATTACTGAATTTTTCTTGAGCAGAAATATACATTACTGCTTTATTCTTGAGCGGAAATATACATTACTGCTTTATTCTTGAGCAGAAATATACATTTCTGATTTAATCTTGAGCAGAAATATACATTACTGCTTTATTTTTGAGCAGAAATATACATTACTAATTTATTCTTGACAGAAATATACATTACTGCTTTATTCTTGAGCAGAAAATAATTTTACCCTTTTTTGTCTAATACTCAAACACAGTTAGAAAAACAGAAAGAAAAACGAAATTTAAATTAAGACATAAAGATAGTTGATAGACTAAATCAATTAACAATATAAAACAAATGTTTACAGTTTATTTGATCTAGCTTGGTTCAGCTTATCCTATAAATATTCCATTAAAAGATAAACAGAATTGAAATTAATAAAATCTTTCATTTTTCAACTTAAAATTCAAGTTTTACATTCTGCTTAGAAAATGTATCTGAAGGAATTGTAAATGTAATAAATATCCCGAATACACTGGACGGCATTCTAATAAATAAAACATAATACTCGGCATTAAGTCGTCTTCCTTGAACATAGATTTACGAGGCCTGATTAGAGAGAAACTGGGGCACTAGGGGGGAATATACATACAAACTTTAAAGAGACATTACGCCTAATTCTATATGACCCTTTCTGTTTAGTTAATAGCAATCTCTCTAAAGCTTTGTTGGATCCAAGATGAATGAGAAATCCATTTTTTTACTTTGACAGTTGATATTTTTCCATTTTGGTTTCTCTGTAAAATTGACAGAGGCAGATTTCTTCTACACAAACAATACAGAAAATTGTCTAGAGTAATTGTGCAGTGTAAAGAGACCTATTTCACTTAGTTAGTGATTTACTACCTTACTAGTAGACCTATTTGCTTTGTAACTACATCAAATGTACTTCAGTGTCACCTTAATATCGTCTTTCTATTTCACAGTTTTCTGGCTATCAGGAAAAGGTATTGAAGAATAGAGAGGGAAAGAAGAAGAAAGGAACGTCAGGGGGGGGGGGCAACCAAGCACACAAAGGTTATAATGTGTTATGTTTTATTATGTTAAATTATAATTATGTTGTTATTTCCAATTTCTTAATATGTGATAAAAACTGGCAAGTCAGATGAAGTTTTATTGTTTTAAATTAATTCATATTTATTGACTCTCAGCTGGATACTTTTGCATTGTTCATACTGAGATCAACACGTAATCTTAATCTTTTCTTTTATCTGCAGATTAATTTAATCTTTTATAAATACCCTGAGCTGCAAACTTTTGAATGGGATATCCTTAATCCCGATTGGTTAATCATTCTGGAGATTAAATTCATGAGGAGAACAAGCAATATTTAATCTCGAGATTAATAAAAAGAGTGGATCAAACATGAATCCTGATATCCACCATTCTAAAGTTCCCAGCTCTGGAGGAATAACTAAAATTAAGAGAATAAGCATTGATCCTCGAATCAAAAGCGCCCACCGTGGATATTGAGTTCAAGCTATTGGGATTATGAGTTCCCGGCTAGCTCTGATTAGATCTGTATAATATATATCTTTCTTTTTTTAAATATGTCCAATCAGTAACCAATCCCTTTAAATAAGAAGTCGTGTAAAATGTGTTTTTCTATTCTATTCTATTCTATTCTATTCTATTCTATCAAGTTTACTGTTTTCAAACATACAGGGTATCGAATAAAAGTAAAAAATTTTAATTATCTAATATAGAGACGCCGGCTGTACTCTGTCACCATGTTACCATATAAAGATGGTAAGAAATGAAGGACATCTAAAGCCTGAAAACTGATGTGAGTAAATCTACATAGTATAGGAAAAAATGTATTTACAAGTAAAAATTGAATAAATAAAAATGATACTAATAAATCATGGAAAGCTGGAGCTCTCAGACGGACTCTTCTCCTTTTATTCGCCTCGTACGACAAGTTAATCTTCCGTCTTCAGACTCCTCGTGAACACTGACTCCACTTCAGTTTTAGCCCAGGCTGATCT